CCCCACCCCCCTCTCTCCCTCCTAAAAAAACAACCACAACCACAACCCAACTCCCCCTTTCCCCTACCAATTCAGCAGATGGTGTGAGCTATATTTCTCCTGCTGAAGTTTACATGTGATAGAGGTGTGTGATTGGTGTTTGATATTTTTGGAGCAGGAAGAAAGAAGTACGACAGAAGACCTCGGTGAGGATTTCAAGTATATGTTCGAACTTCTATCTCTATGTGCACTCATGTGATGCTACCTTTCCCAACTACAATTGTCTACACTCGGGTACATAACAAGATGAATGGATCATGGAACTGAAGGGACGCAGGTATATCTCGAGAAGAGGAATCGGAATCCAATATGCGCGAGACGAGATGGGCGTTCGTAATACTTAAGTACAGATCCTCTAGAAATACTGGATTTGGAATGCGCATTAACATCCAGCGTCATGACCAGTTTATACCAAGCAGCACATCGACATCGACGGTCCCGTCTCCCTTTGCTTTTCACGTGCAACACTCAGACGTCAAAGTCAATCCAGTCAGTATTTCCGAACCTCCCATCAGGTGTTTGAAAGACCCGGGCCGGTGTGCTGTAGGGCACATACTGCGCCTCCGTCAGCTGGACATCGAACTCTGCCATAGCTCTGCCCGTAGCATTGTAGCCAGGTCCATAATTTCTGTACTCGGCCTGCATGGTGGAATTATCGTAGCGCGCGGGATCCCAATCGATGAAGCCAGTCGGGCGGATCGAGGCGTCCAGATAGGTGCGTGCAAAGATGGAACGCATCTGTGAGTTCTGGGTTTTGGAATCAGTATGGTTTCTAGGAAGGGACGTCGAGTAAGTAGGGGGAGGGCGCTCAAACCCAGGGTCTTCCCAAAGCGCACTTCCCCTTGATAACGCTCGCGATCGAAGTATTTGCGGCATGGACATTGGAATTCACGATGTAAACGCCGTACTTGTTCGGGAACGTCGTGTTAGTGCCTTTCCATGCGGTGATGCCGCCGCCGCAGTTTCGGAGCGCGATGGATGTCTGCTCCACCCATGCGGTTCCGAACCCGTAGAAGAAGTCTGTCTCGCCGGCTACCTCGCCATTCTTGAAGTATGCATTTCCAAGCTTGCCTACGTAGATCTTCGGGCGTCAGCAGTTTCCGATGTGGGGAATGAGAGAAGTAGGACTGTTGTACCGTATCTTGGTAACTGTAGAAGCCGGTGTAATAGAAGCCCCCATTTGCATAACTGATACTCAGGGCGAGAGACGGATCATCAGCTAGGATTCATCAGCTCCCAATTAATTATACTGATCTTATCCCCTGAAGAACTCACAGTAAGGGGCAAAGTCATTGATGAAATTGAGATTGTAAGTCCTGAAATCTACACACCCAAACGGCGTCCCGTCTGGGACCGCAAAGCCCGTAGGCCCGCTACCCGTCAATGAGGCGTTTAAATTTGGTGCCACGGTAAGGGTACTGGTAAAGGCGTTGTCTAAACCTGGGACGGCAATCGCGGACCATATGATGTTGACTGTATTATAGGCTTGGTTTCGTGGATGTCTTGTTTGGCCTAAGAGATAGGTCGGGCCACGTCGAGTGACATTAACCTGAGTGTTGCTGTCAGCTTTGTTGGAATGAATAAATAGAATAGAAGCATCATATACCTGCTCCGTATAGTTTCCAGAAGCAACGAGAATGATATAGGTATCTGAACCTCGTGAGTAAGTTTGGACTGCCCTTCGGACCTTTGGTAGTCCTACCAGTATTATTTGGTAAAGAAGCAACGGCTATTTCTTGTTAGTTAGGGGCTCCGAGTGAGGTGCAATAATTTCTTACCTGATTGCACAGTGGTGAATTCAGAATTGCCACCTACAGCATCCACAAAAAGAGTCCTGTCTCGATCACAACCTTCGAGAGGGTTTCTGGAATACAATTGACAGCCGTGACGATCATTTTCATTGCTGATATCCCAAGCCAAGACGAGGGAGGAAAATGCAGCCAGGAAGAGAACTAGAGATTGTATACCCAACATACCGACTCGTTCAATTAGGGATTTAAGAAGATGTATTGAGAAGAAAGGTCAACACATGCAAGATATCCGCAACTAAACAAAAGCATTTCAAATTGAAAGGAAGGAGAAAATTTATATTTGGCCGTCCAATCTATCAACGCCCTTACAGAATATCTACATACTCGCATGCTTCCACAGATACCCATGTTGAGCCGTCTATGTTTGTACCTGTCAAGGAAAGCTTAACGGATATTGTGGATGGCCGCCCTCTCCACCTCGGCAGAACAATATTCCATGAATTGAGATGAAGTGTGGAGAAAGTTTGCGGGGAAACTACCTCCGCGGAGCATGCTGATCAGGGTACAGAGGGCAGGATCGCAGATTGGCAAGGTGTAAAAAAAGGCCCTAGGAGAAGCTCCTTCGACTGTATCCTTCAACATCAAGACCAAAGAGAGAAGTCGAATTGTTCCCCCCATTCTTGAAGACTATGCGATGTGAACGCCGAGAAGACTTGCTGACAGCATAAAGTACCAAGCAATGACGAAAATGAGTCGATGCTTGACTAGGTAGGGAGGTACCTCCAAGGAATCAGAGGGGCCGCATCTGGAGTCAGAATTGACAGACCCTCATATGTAGCGAGATAAAGACTTTTGACCAACAGGTTTCCGGCCTAGTGGCCTAATGGTTAAGGCGCCAGATTTCGGCTCTGGAGATTGGGAGTTCGAATCTTCCCTGGGTCGTCCCAAATTCTTTTTGCCATTCTTTTTTCGCCTCCGTGGCCTGTTATTTTTTTTGCTTTGTCTTTGGTTGGCGTCAGCAAAAACGCAGATTGTACTAATCTTCCCACCAATCAGAGACCTGGCCTGTCTTCCCTCCATCCAATCCTCTCGGGCCAAGTTGTACGGAGTATTGTGGTTGTTGCGCCCCTGAATGCTGGCAGCTGCAAACCGTATACAGGACTACATCCATATAGGTAGGGTTTGTCCGGGTGGAATGTGATGTGTGAGAGATGCAGTCCGCGTTGCATAAAATCAATAATTCAGACCCTTCCGCTTCTCAGCCCAACGTGCAATACTGCGTGCATAAGGTACTGCGGATTCTGATTTCTTTGTTTGCTATCAAACCACAGCAATACCTTAATGACAACAGCTCGACTCATCACATGCGGGATGAGCATCCGAATTAGGGGAGGCCGGGGTTCTATCTTGTGGTGTAGCATTGTAGTTAATGTCCCTTGTAGTTTGCCTGCAGCCTTGCGTAAACCTCCATCTTCACCATCGCGATATATCGGTTTTTCTGATTCGCATCTCGTCATAGGCCATTATCGTCACCTTTCTTTCGTTCCTTTTACCTTTCTCCTCTTTCTTATTTCTCTTATTTCTCCTTTCTCTTATTTCTTTCATACCTCTCTCTCTCTTCAGCCGCTCATCCCCGCCCCACATCAGGTTCCCAGGTAATCAAACACATTTCGCCCCCAGCAACGCGGCTGCACGCGTGGGAACGGGAGACCAACCTCTTCTTTCACCGCTCATCCAACATCACATCCAACACCATATCAACCCCTTTGTTCGTCCTTCTCCCTTAAACGGCGAGCAAAGACAGGTAGATATCAATTCACCGCCCCCTTCTCCGTCTCATCGTCGACCGACTTCACTTTTCTTCTTCTTCTTCTTCCTTCTCTCCTCGCGCGTGAGGCAGGTGCGTGGTTCCTTCCCTATCCATCTCCTCCCTTCCTTCCCTCACTGTTTCTCGCTTGCCCACCTCAGCTCCAATCCTATTTGAGCCAATGGTTCACGCAATCGAGAAATACTTAAAACTGACGTCCTGCCAGAAATCCCCAGAACTTCCACAACACCACCCGTCATCAAGAAGCTCCGAGCTTCGACAACCTCACCTTCAATTACCCTCTTACGTCTATCCTACATCCCTTACCCTCCATCCCAACCTGCCAGACGCGTCCAACTCTGGTGCTCGAGTCCTCCATCCACTTGATACGGGCATTCGTTGACCATGTCGTCATCCCAACGCGGAGGACGAGGAGGCGGTCGCGGCGGCAGTGACCGCGGAGGCAGCCGGGGGAGCAGTGAGCGTGGCAGCAGCCGCGGTGGTGGCAGCCGTGGAGGCAGCGACCGCAGCAGCGATCGTGGATCCCGCGGAGGCCGAGGGGGCTACGGTGGAGGAGGAGCTTCTCAGGAGGTCAGGGTCTTCAGGTAAAGCATTTCTATTAGTTCTATTCTTCTTATTCTTCTCCTTTTGCAACTCCATCTCTTGACATCTAGCCCTCCGTCTGTCCTTGTTTCTCCCATTCTACGAACCACTTTTCAGACCTTTCTAACGGCTGCGTATAGGGACCCAAACAACCCCTATGCTCCCCCAGATGGGAATGTCTTGAGCATTGAAAATGCGTACATGAAAAATGCCGGCGGCATCGGAGCTTTGGGGAACCTCGCGCTGACTTCTGCGTTCCCCCTTCGCCCCGGTCATGGGACACAGGGCAGAAAGATTGCCGTCTACGCGAACTACTTCAAAATCCAGACTGCCCCGAACTTGACCCTCACTCGATACAGCGTCGAGGTGACGCCCGAAGCGACTGGGAAGAAGCTCAGGCGTATCTTTCAACTCCTTCTTGAGTTGCCCGAGTTTGCTGGCGTTGGTACTGAATGGAAGTCCATGATTATAAGCCGCCAGCCCTTGAATATCCCGCCAGACTACCATGTCGCCATTCCTTATCGTGCTGAGGGTGAAGATGAGGCTCTGGAGCGCGCTATCACCTATACGGTGAGGGTCGTCACTCCAATCTCTCTTGCTGTCTCGGACCTTGTCAACTACCTCTCGGCCACCTCCACTGGGCCTGCTTTCCCTCACAAGGCAGAAGTTCTCCAAGGTCTGAATGCGCTTCTCGGTCACCATCCCCAGTCACACGACGGTGTGGTTTCTATCGGCCAGAATCGTCACTTCTCTGTTGATAGGAGCCAGCGGAACTTGCACAATATCCAGGTTCTCGGTGGCGGTCTGGAATCTTTACGCGGGTACTTCCAAAGTGTCCGTCCCGCTACTGGCGGCCTCCTTCTTAACGTTAATGTGACCCATGGCGTTTTCTTCCAGCCTGATCGTCTGAGTGAACTCTTTCCCAAGATGGGGACTGGAAACCGGGTGACGCTAGAGAAAAAGATAAAGCGCATTCGTGTCAAAGTTATCCATCTTCCGGCCAAGAAATCGAAGCAAACCAACCAGGAAATTCCCCGGATTAAGACCATCTTCGGCTTGGCCCATCCACAAGATGGTCGCAGCGATGAACACCCGCCACAAATTGCATCATTTGGTGCAGGTCCAAGGGATGTGAAGTTCTGGCTTGGAGAAGCCCCTCCGGCAGCAGGGACATCCAAAGGCAAGGGCAAGCCACCCAAAAAACCCACGGGCCCTGCCCTGCCCACAAACAGATACATTTCTGTGTTTGACTATTTCAAAGCGAGTAAGTTTGGCTAAATTTGTTAGTAATAGGTTGCTGATCTATCTTCAGAGTACCCGAACATCCCATTGAAAGAAAATCTTCCCGTAGTCAACGTTGGGAATAGAGAAAACCCCAGCTACCTTCCCGCGGAAGTGTGCGTTGTCCTTCCCGGGCAAACAATCAAAAGAAGATTGAGTCCAGACCAGACTCAGCAGATGATTACTTTTGCCTGCAGAAAGCCGTGGGAGAATGGTACCTCTATTGTTGATGATGGAAAGGCCGTTCTTGGGCTAAACCCGTCCCCGAATTCGATTTTGGTAAGTTCTGTTACAAGTTTTCTTTTAATTAAGATGCTAACACAGGCTAGGCAACAATGGGTCTTCAGGTTGGGCGCAGCCTAATCACCGTTGCTGCTCGTCTCTTACCTCCTCCTGCGATCAAGTATAAGGACTTGAGGAATAGAGAGATGTCCATAGTCCCGAAATTCGGAAGCTGGAACATGATCAACACCAGATTTCACACGGCTAGTGCCCTTGGACCATGGACATATATCTGGTTCAAATCGAACAGAGGGTCCACCCCGTTCAATGAACGTCACGTTAATGATACTGTGATGAAGTTTGCTGATTTCCTGGCCAATGCTGGTATCAACGCTGACGGATTTATCCAACACCCTCCACCACCTGTCATAACTCTACAGGATGGCCTTGAAGGGGCCAACGACGAGGTGATCAAGACAATCTTCAGGCGAATGTACGACGCAAAGTCCAGGCCGAGATTTGTGCTTGTCATTTTGCCATATAATGATGTTGCAATCTACAACAGCATCAAGACAGTTGCAGATACCAAGGCTGGAATTCACACTGTGTGCGTCGTTGCACAAAAGTTCATGAAGCCCCAGCGACAAGAACAATACTTCGGGAACATCTCGCTGAAGTTTAACCTCAAAGCAGGAGGGATCAACCAGACTCTCGACCCAAAACAACTCGGCATCATTGCCGAAGGGAAGACGATGGTTGTGGGCCTCGATGTCACACATCCGTCGCCTGGCTCTAAAGAGGGTGCGCCTAGTGCTGCAGGCATTGTTGCGAGCGTCGATAAATTTCTGGGCCAATGGCCTGGGGCGTTCAGCTTACAGGAAGGGCGAAAGGAGATGGTCTCTGCCCTAGAATCACTCTTCCTATCTCGTCTGAAGCTTTGGGAGAAGCGCAACAGGCAGCTCCCCGAAAATATCATCATTTACCGAGATGGTGTGTCAGAAGGTCAATATCAGCTCGTCATAGAGCAAGAGCTCCCCTTGATCCGCAACGCATGCAGGCAGGCATATCCTGCTACGGCTACTAAGCAAGGGTATCCTAAGCTTACCATTGCTGTCTGCGGAAAACGTCACCATACCCGCTTTTATCCCGCGCATGAGGGAGAGGCAGACCGCTCTTCGAACTGCGCGCCTGGGACTGTTGTGGATCGTGGAGTCACAGAGGTTCGTGGCTGGGACTTCTTTCTTCAGCCGCACGCATGTCTTCAAGGCACCGCACGCACAGGTCATTACTATGTGGTCCTTGACGAGATTCTCAGGACTCGACCCGTTAAGCCACCTTTCCAGAACCCTTCAGATGCTCTGGAAGATCTGACCCACAACATGTGCCATCTGTTTGGTCGTGCTACGAAGGCCGTCAGTCTATGTCCCCCAGCCTATTATGCAGATCTCCTCTGCACTCGCCTGAGGTGCTACCTTTCTGATCAATTCGATCCAAATGATTCGTCAGCCACACCAAGCGTAGTCAGTGGCGGTGCATCTCAGACATCCCTAGATATCAGCATTGCGGAAAACCTAAAGGATACCATGTTTTACATCTGAAGGAGTCTCAATTGGACTGTTGACGTTTCATGTCTCAAAGCGACATATGTTTCACCAACCAGCTCCATATCTGCTGATTTTCTGGGCTCCTTCAATTCGATTTCCATTATTTGGACCTCACTTTCATTATAGCTGAGCTTTGCCTTTTTTTCGTCTAGCTGAATACAAAGTGGAGTGATGTTGCTGTGATCGCTCTATCTTCACTTCAAGCCTGGGCGACAATTTAACCCTGCTGTTCCTCTTTGTGGAGACTTCACAAGACCTACAACTGTGGAGACTTTCACTTTTCTCCCTGAGATGGAGCCACATTCATTCGTTATGGTCAGATGGATGCTATGGACCGCTCGCTTGATTCTGTGGCTATCGTCTCTTTTCACAACATCCTGTTTTTGTGACGGTTGGGGGGATTTCTTTTCGGGTTCTGCGGAATCCATTCTTCTTTTCACTTCATGCGCTCTTTTTCAAAATGTGCTAATGATGACGAGCAAAACGCACTTGGTGGAAACGAACATCGAGGTTTCACGATTTGCTTATTTCCAAGAGGCTGATCATGATGATCACTAGCTCACATGGGTCTGTGGCATCTAGTAGTCGTTCGCAATCCTTTAGTTACGATAATAGCAGAACAATTCTCAGCTACAAAACTCACTCCTTTTCCCTTTGTGATAGATGATTGCATGTGCCGCTAATTCTTGGTGTCCAATTAAGAACTTGGGGGGAAGACACTCCACGAGATGGCCGTGAGCCGTGGAATTGCTCCCTTCCGTGAGTTGAGGCACGTAAGGTGCGGAATACCTGAAATGTCTATTGAAAAGGTCTGAAGGAAGGGAGTAATGTCCACAACAGCACTGGTAGGACTTGTCCCGGATACCTCGAATGAGTTCCCCGACCCCATCCTAGAAAATGATGATGCAGCGTTCCTACTCACTCCCAACAATGAAACAACCCCCCATGGCCCTAATCCTTCAAACTGCCCTGCAAGCCATGAAAACCCCGAGCTGGACTTAATGATGCGCGATATGGTGGCCTAAATTCATGCAGACACTGTGCTTTTGGGCGTTTGGCTCGAAATTAGAACTGATATGATGCTGTTGTGATGTAATGTGAGTCGAAGAAGCTGGCTGTTTATTTGCTTGGCTTGTTGTTTGTTTGCTTGCTTGCTTGCTTTATGGATATCATGAGTAACTCCACCCCGCCTTTCCCTCGCTTTTCCTTCCTCCTCTTCTCCCTCTCTCTCAACCTCTCTCCTCAAACTCTTCCAAAGAAAGACGATACAGGTCCCCAAAATACATCGATCAACACACACGCACACACACAGAAGAGCCCACACCCCCTTCATCGCAGCGTACCATGTGTACCCTGACAGTAACGCACTACACGAGCTGTCGGTGCCTAACGACGCGGTATACGCGCTGTGCGGACTTAGAGGCGGATCGGCAGCCGCACTCATGTCCGATGCTGGGGACTGTGCATGAGTTGGTTGTGGGGCGGTGCTGTGATGGGACTTGGGGAGAGGGAAGGGGAGGGTGATGGTTAGTTGGTGTGGAATATATGGATGATAGGGAGAAGGGGGGAGAGGGGAGGAATGAATGCTTTGTTTTACGCTGGGTAGATGGGTAGATGGATATCTAGATGTTTATTTTTTGACTTTTATCTTTATCATCTACTATGCTATGTCTATCGTGGATATCGTTACCCCTGATTCAAGGGTCGTAGTAGGCGTCGCTACTCGTCTAGGAAAGGGAAACTGGCTCGTGCTTCTGAGCCCATGCGCGATACCAGTCTAAGCACTCTGAATTCGCGACGCTGGCTGACGTCTTGACGTTCATGCCGCAGAGGATCTGCTTGACTGCTACTTCGACCCTAGTTATTGAAATGTCAGTGATAGCCAGGGCGGGAGAGAGTGAGGGACTTACTTCTTCCCATTCGTCGTAATGGGGATCTCAGGACATTCATCAATGATAGCCGGGACATGGCGGGCGCTCAGATCCGATCTGATGGCGGAGCTGATGCGCGCCTTCAGGTCTGGCGTGCACTGCTTCCCCTCCAGCATCTTCAGGAACAGCACGACCCGCTCGTCTGTGTCCGACTCGCGCCTCTGCCCGATGCAGAGGGAATCTTCGACGTCCGTGGCGAAGTGCTTCAGTAAGACGTTGTAGATCTCGGCACTGCCGAAGCGCACGCCCGCCGGCTTCAAGATGCCGTCGCTGCGGCCCAGCATCACCATGCCGCCAGTCACGGGGTCGAAGCGGACAAAATCGCCATGGTGCCAGACGCCCGGGAAGGTCTCGAAGTAGCTGCTCTCGTACTTGGCAGCGTCGTACTGGGGGAGTTTCAGGATCGAGGAGTCAGCGCCGGAGACTGGGGGGAGGGCGATGGATTTCTGGGGCCAGAAGCCCACGGGTTGGGAGGGGAAGGGCTTGAGGCAGACGAGATCGCCTGGTTCGCCGTCCTGCACTTTGGAGCCCGAGGGGTCGAAGGCGCAGATGGCCATCCCGAGCCCTTTGACTTGGATCTCCCCTTCATAGACGGGGGAAATTGGGCTAGGCGCGCCGAAGAGGGAGATGATGTCCGTGCCGCCCGTGATACTACCTAGGTTGATTGTCTTGGGGAATGCGTCGTAGACGTATCTGAAGGTGCTTGGCGCCAGGGGAGATCCGGTGGAGTAGATGGCTCTGAGAGAACTGAGGTCTATTCCAGCCTTCAGGGGCTGGGCTTGGTTCTGCTCGAGGATGCTCAGGTATTTGGCTGAGGTGCCAAATTGAGTGATCTTTAGCTCCTCGATGAGCTTGGGCATCGTAAGGTCGCCGTGTGGTTTAAATGGGCTCCCATCATAGAGGACGATCGTTGCGCCGGATGCGAGGCCAGAGACTAACCAGTGCCACATCATCCAAGACGTGGTTGTGTAATACAAGAGGCGGTCCCCCGGTCGAATATCACACTGGCTATAAGTTAGTTTAATCCATCCCGTAACTGGACAACAAGGTGCATTTGAAACCAGATCGACACTAGACTCCTGCTGTCCAATATCGAACGCCACCGGTGATTGAGCTCTCCTTATGCTTGCTATGTGGGTAGAGAGGAGCCAACATCAAACCAGAAATAATGAATCTTGAATGCTTACCTGCAAAACGTGCTCTTTCTTGTGTTGAATGAGCGTACCGGCCGCGGAGTGGACTATACATTTGGGTTTTCCTGTAGTGCCGGAACTGTAGAGGATATAGACGGGATGCTCGGGCAAGAACATCGTCCGTAGGCTTCCCTGGAGATCTGGGCTATCGCTATAAGGGGGGGTGCTGATATGTGTGCTTTAGCGGGCTGGCCTTGGAGATTGGGATCTCTTCCCTGGCTTACCTTTGAAGAAACCCCTCGTGCGTCCATGCCTGGCCACGTGCTACTTTGAAACCCGTGGTATCGATCTCTCCTGGCACGGTCTGGAATATGACAACAGCTTTGAGCTCCTTCAACGCCTCGACAATCTCTCTGGTCTTCGCGGTACTGGGGTGGATCTTCCCATTGTACTCAACTCCATTGTCAGCAAACAGCATGACGGGCTCGATCTGAACCAGCCGGTCCAACACGGCAGCCACACCGGTATCAGGACTAACGGCGGTCCAGATTGCCCCAAGATAAGTCGTAGCCAGCATGGCAACAACCGTGTCGGCATGATTACCAAGGAAACCTGCAACGCGGTCACAGGGCTTGACTCCGTGGGCCTTCATGGCCAGCACAAGCTGCAGCACCTTGTCGCGCAGGGCCTTCCACGAGATGGTCTTTTTAGTTGACTCAGTCACCGAGATCAGGGCGGGACTGTCAGCATCGGGCGCATCTCGTGGGTAGAGGAGATTGTCAGCGAAGTTCAAGGTACAGCCGTCGAAGAACTTGGGCCGGGGGAACATGGGAGCATCGCGAGCGACGACCTGGTGGGGTCAGTGCTATTCCACAAATGAGTTGGATGAGTAGAGAAGTGTCAGATCGTTGAAGCATCAACGACATAGCGAGTGACGTTACGATATTGTGAGAGTATATACCCCGTAGAGTATAGAAACGGCAATATTTCAACGACAACCCAACTAATAGCTTTGAATTGAGACTCAAATTGACAATGGAGCACGCCCAGAGCTTCAAATTGCAGCATCTGAAGCCGTAACTCGTGGCTTGCTTGAAGGGACAAGAGCCTCACTCACATGTCTGAAGGGCTTCTTCTCGGACGCCTGTCCATTCTGGAGCTTCACGTCCTCCTTGGAAGCAAGGGGGACGGCGCGTACGCCGGTGAAAGCCCATACTTCTTCCCAGAACTCGGGGAAGCTGTCAATGGACCAATCATACAGTCCCTGGTAGGAGTTGAGATCCTTGCCGTACTTCTTGTTGATGATCTGAAGGAACTGCCACAGGGAGCTGCGTGTAGGATGCTGGTTTTCCCAGAGAGGGGGATCACGGGACTTGGTGTGTCCCATGACTTCGAGGGGGAGGGCGAGGGGAATACTATATATATATAGTGTATATATAAGGTATATAAGGTACTCTAGATCGATAGTCGGGGAGGGACGCGGGAGGGGTCCGGAAAAGGGGGGTCACGGGGAGGTGGAAGAGGCGAGTGAAGATCTACAGTAGAGATCCAGATAGGATAATAAAAAGACGTGTACAGTATTGCTATTCACACCGGGCTCGGTGGAAGAAGACAACCCCGTTACCACAGAAAAGAATACTGGGGTAAACGATACGGGAGACCGAGGCTCATTCCCCTCTCCGCGCTCCGCTCTCCGCCCGCCTCCGCCCTCTTTTCGTCTCACGTGCTCGCGTGAGGAGGGACGGAGCGGTGTATTCTTAGTCAGCAGGGGGCTGCAGCGATCGACTCTGCGGTACTCCGTAGAAATCACGCTGCCAGACACGCTTCTACTGCACACCGTATGTTTACGTGCGTGAGTAAGGTAGTATTCGAGGCATCATGGCCAAAGGAGGGATCAGCGATCACGCGATGGATGTGGAGGTTGCTGATGTTATATACCTAGGTAATGTTGTATAGTGTTGTAATGTTGGGTTATATTGTTTTTCATATTAACATGGTCTGACGAATGTGAGGGTACGTTATATAGCTGAGGCTCCTGAGTCCTCATCTTATGATTTCACTACCGTCGTGGGTGATGATGCATAGCTCTGCACAACTCTGCACAACCCCCGCATAACGCAGCACGCACAGCAGCGCCCTCGACCAATCAAGGGCCGCGATGGAATGTTTCCGGCCTCCTGCATGAGGATGACCCTTGAATTTCTGTAATTTCATATTTAAATACTATTACGGTATAACGCCGCCAGCAAGCCGCTGGATGCGTGCTAGGGGCCCGATAGCTGGGTAATAACTGGGTCGCAACCGAACGGATGGGGTATATATCGGGGCTAGTGTCGCCTCGCAGCGGTGGGGCTAGGCAGGAAGAGGCTTAGACGGCCCGGCGGGACATGGTAAACTGTAATTTGGTAAAAGACGAGAAACACTGGGCCAGCCAAGCGCCGAGTGCCCGAGCCCCTTTCGAAGGACAAAATCTGCGGATGCATCGGCGATTCAGTTCCATTTCTCACGGGCCTCATCTTCACATCCCATCATCTCCCGCTCTCCCTCTCTCTCTCTCTCTTACTTTCCCCCCTCCCCCCCTCTCTCTCCCTCTCTCGTTCTTTTTGTCTTTTGTCCTCAACTCCACCGTCCAATCCCACCGCCGCTGATATCAACCGGCCGTTGATCCTGTGGTGGACGGTGTTAACGTCAACGTCAACCAACGTCAGCGTCAACGCGTGTTGTGGACGCTTCTTCCCTGGCACCACCACCACCGCCTTAATCACTACCAAGACACGCGCTTTCCTCGCGACCTTGATCTCACCTCCACTCTAGGACGTGAATCTCGAACTCAACTTGGTGATCTCGCGCCTAATCGTCATCAACCGGCGTCTCAATTTCAAGATCATCATCATTGGCATAATCCCCGCCCGTATGTATCCCATCTACTTGTTCATTCTTGTATTTGCCCACCAGGACTGGTCTCAGGAGGCTGTTTGTTCTGTCTGTCTGGCTCCTTCACCTGCTAAGCCCAACCCTTCACCGCTTCTCATCGTTCCTGACCTTGTCGCCACAATCAATCACAACTCTCCTCCCTATCTGTCGAGATCAACCCGCTTCTCAAACATACATCAACTGACATGCATTGCTCTTCTAGACACGGCCATATTTTGATTATCCTTGACCACTGTACTACTATCGTCCAAGCAGCTCGCGTGTCTTATCGTCCGACAGACTTGAAGTCGATTCACGCAGCTTACGCATAGGACACGACATCCGACAATTAGATCGTTCCTTTCTCTTGCAAGTACACACACAAATCTCGATAGACCACCGTCGACCGGTCATCATCCACCGTCTTCGCCTTTCAAAGGAGGACAGCCCGGTTCATGTTCACAATGCCTCAAAGACTTCCACGTAATCCATTCGCCAGTTCTCCCAATACCGCGACTGCCATCCCACCTTCAGAGAAGCCCACCGCCCGCAGGCCTTCGACTTCCAAGGCTAATAGATTGTCCCAATTCTTCTCTTCCTCCCCGAAGAGCAAGGAGCAGCAATCTGCGCAGGCGGCGCTCCTATCTGCGGTGGCAGCGCAGCAGCAACACCTCCTGAACAATCCATCTCCGCAGATTAGCGCGCCCTCTCTGTCGTTACCAACGATTTCCCTGTCCACAGCCAAGGGGGGAGAGGCAAACATGGATGAGCCTCCGACCACGCTTTTCCAGCCTCCGTCTGTGGCTGAGGCTAAGAAGCAGGCGCGCATCGACGCTCAGTTCGCGCCTATTGGGAGCCAGAGCCATCGCTATGTCAGTAAGCATATGGGGGAAGAGTTCCCGGAACCCATCATGGACGAACCACCATACTATTACCTCTTGACAACGTACATAAGCTACCTCGTTCTCATCATCTTCGGTCATATCAGAGATTTCTTCGGCAAGCGGTTCAGGCCCGAGCATTACCGACACCTGAAAGCTGCCAATGGTTACGCGGCTCTGAATAGCGACTTTGACAATTTCTATGTGCGGAGATTGAAGATGAGGATTGACGATTGTTTCGCTCGGCCCATCACCGGCGTCCCGGGGAGATACATCACGCTCATGGACCGGAAGACAGACGACTTCAATGAGCATTTCCAATTCACCGGGACATATACAGAAACACTCAACATGAGCTCGTACAACTACCTTGGTTTTGCCCAATCAGAGGGTCCATGCGCCGACGCTGTGGAAGAGGCTATCAAGAAGTACGGCGTCAGTGCTGCCAGTCCTCGTGCAGATGTTGGCACCTCTGATCTGGCCCTGGAAGTAGAGGATAGAATTGCAAAGTTTGTCGGCAAGCCAGCCGCGATGGTTTTCTCCATGGGATTCGCAACGAATGCAACCTCTTTCCCTGCATTGGTTGGCAAGGGTTGCCTCATCATTTCGGATGAGCTGAACCACGCGTCGATCCGTATCGGGGCACGTCTCTCTGGCGCCATGATCAGTTCCTTCAAGCACAATGACATGAACGATCTTGAGAAAAAGCTCCGAGAGTTCATCTCCCAGGGACAGCCACGTACGCATCGCCCATGGAAGAAGATCTTGATCGTTGTCGAGGGACTGTACTCCATGGAAGGGACAATGTGCAATCTCCCTGGTCTGTTGAAGCTTAAGAAGAGATACAAGTTCCACCTCTTCATCGACGAAGCCCATTCCATCGGAGCTCTTGGCCCTCGCGGACGTGGGGTCTGCGATTATTTCGGCATTGATCCTTCCGAGGTTGACATTCTTATGGGCACTCTGACGAAGTCATTCGGTGCAAATGGAGGATACGTTGCAGCTGAGAAGCACATTATCGATAAGCTCCGGGTGACTAACGCAGGAACCATCTATGGTGAATCGCCCGCTCCTCCCGTCCTCATGCAGATTCTCAGCGCTGTCAAGATCATCTCTGGTGAGCTTGTCCCTGGCCAAGGAGAAGAGCGTCTCCAGCGCATTGCTTTCAACTCTCGCTATCTCCGACTTGGATTGAAGCGTCTCGGCTACATTGTCTACGGGCACGATGACTCTCCTATTATTCCCATTGTCCTCTACAACCCGGCGAAGATGCCCGCCTTCTCTCACGAAATGCTTCGGCGGAAGATCTCAGTCGTTATTGTTGGATACCCTGCTACTCCGCTCATCTCCTCCCGAGCACGCTTCTGTGTGTCTGCGGCTCACAACAAGGACGACATGGACCGTCTCTTGGCTGCTTGTGACGAGATTGGTAACGTACTCCAGCTCAAGTTCTCTACTGGCGTTGCGGGCGGCGCGGAAAACCTTCCCGATGGTGTGACCCCAGAGATGGAGAAGGAGTGGCAGAAAGCGAACGGCCTGCAAGGCGTGGTCAAGCCACCTCGCTGGACGTTGCGAGAAATCATCGCGAATGGCGTGCAAGACGTCAAGAAGCCTCTGCGGTGATTTGGACTTTGCAATGAATGGGAGCCTCGAGCCAGGACATGACAGGGAGCACTGGGCTTAGATTCGCGGACCTTGGGTCGGATGAACACTATATCTCGAATGTCGCGCGTCTCCTCGACGGATACTCCGCACCCAGCCGTTGGTTAGTCTAACATTCTGGACGGGACGGCGACAGGGCCTTTCTCTTTCTAGTCCAAGTGCTATTGTACATTACTCCTTCTTGTCGATCGTTCGCTCTGGCGTGGCGCACTCTGTACGCGCACAAGATACCCTTTGCAGTCCTGGCTACATAATTGATGGGGATGACCGCTTGTAGTTGCATGGTCACGGCGTTTCACACTTCTATTTTTCTTTGGAACATCTTTTGCCCTCTATTTGACGAGGGACTGGGGGTGAGATGTGATTCTACCTAATAGCTTTAATGACCTGACGGGGTTTGGATGGGGTTAGGGACGTGTGTAAGATCATATAGCGGCATGGAGTGATGGGGTTTTGGGATGATGGGAGATGGAGGGTAGCAGGAAGGGATACTGATAGACAATGAGAAACCGGTTTTCTCTGCTTTGCTACTTTGTTGTTATGTGACTCGATGTGCCTGAAGCTGGTGTTATTGAGCTGTAGATGCATAGAAGGCGGCTCTGCGAGAAGACCATCTTCAAAGCGCAGCAACATTGACTGACTTACGCCGATTGACCTCCAAACCCCGACCGACTATCCGCCTATGCACAATAATGGGAACAGTAATCGCTGACCAACCAGAATAACGTAACATCCCGAGTCCCATGGACGATGCGGCTCTGGCCTCGCACACCGAGTACAGAACGGTAGGTAATCGTTCGGTAGGTAGGGTAGGGTATGTACCTAGGGCAGCGGGGACCTATCTCATGCCATCCCATCCTATCCTATCCCATCCGATCACGAAGAAAAAAGAAAGAAGAGCAGAATAATACGGACGTCGATCCCTTACTCTTTTCCCTTTTCCCTCCCTCCTTTACATAATATGTCGATCTTCCCATCGGGACTCGGAACATAGACAGACAGACAGACAAGACCCTCTCGATCGGATGGATAGGTAGGTAGGTCTTAGCCGGGTACGCATCCGAGCCATGAATGAGTACGGACGTCGGACGGGTTAGGGGATCTGGAATATTTCCTAGGGCTATATGCACTTGTTGATGTTATGGGCATGAAGATTTTGTATGTATTATTGTCCGTCGTGGGTAGTTAGTTGTTCGGGGACTTTTTTTCTTATTCTTCGTCGGTATTGTAGGGAGGTAGGCGGAGGAATTGCTTGCCAAGACCTTGAATATGTGAGTGATGTAAATATGATATGATGGCTTATGATTTTCGGGAGTTAACGCTGATACTGTGGTGGGAGTGCTGGTGACGAGAGTACTTTATTGCTTTGTTGTTGCCTTTTGCTGTAGAAGCAATGGGGCGGGCGTATGCATTGCCGCCGCGCACGAGCAGGGTGTGCGCTATAGACTATCCACCCCCACCCCCAAATCCAACTGCTCTCCCATTATCCCCCTCACCTCTCTGCCATCAGTCCTATCCATCATCCCAGCCCAGCCCGCTGGGGGAAGGAAAATACACAGGAAAGAAGGATGTACTCTTTTGCAGATGCTTGAGTGGCTTGCATTCGCCCCGCGCTGGCAGAGAGCTTCTTCTTCTGTTGACAAATAACGGCTACTGGTCCAGACACTGCGATCCAGAGCCCTGTGTACATACGTTTGGCGACACGAGAATGTACTCGGTCGGCGCGGGTCATGGTTCTTCGGTGAGCCAAGAGCGCGGCGCCACGGAAAGAAAGGTCTCGTGGTTCCGACTCGGCCTTGCCCGGGCGTAAAGGCAATATTGATATCCATGGCGTTGCTTCGCCTTGCCTTTTGCCTTGTGCGGAGGGAGTCTTGTCGTCTCGGCGGAGGGGATCGATCATCATCGGAGGGAAAGGTGCGGAGGGGAAACCACAGCCAGTGATCCGGATGCCTCAAAAATCAAACCCCATGGCTCTCTCTCCTTGCCAAGTTGAAATCTTTTAGCCAGCATCAATCATCCCTCCTATCTGTTCCGTCAATTCCGACGTCGATGATCCCAGCAACGGCAATATAAAATCGCGCATAGAAGCTGAACATCTTACAGTAGTGCTGCGATTGAGCTTCGAGAGCGCCTTGAAGAGTGCCTTGACCTGGCTAGTATGAACCTGCTGTGGGCGTGTAGCCTCGCCAGGCGGCAGCATGAGATCATGAGAGCCTCAGAGATGCGGAGCTGTTGTATGGCTCGAGTGGTTGCCTACGAGCCTTGCCATGATGCCTTTGCTTTTTCCTTTGTACCTTTGTGCTTTTGAGGGGATAGTACTGCAGCAGAAGTATATGCGCGCCCCGATTTGAAAAGTACTTTGACCCATCAAGAGACGAATCGATTGTTGCAGAAATATTGCAAGAGATAACAATTTCTTTGTCGTCTTGCCTTTGTTATGCATGCCTACTCGGCCACTCGTGGCGTAAGGTGCGTCCGGCCGAGAATGACATGCCCCAACTGGAGCCTCCCTCCCCCAGACTCGGTGACTTAGAATGGACGCCATCTCAAAAGCCACACCGCAGCGAATAGGTGCCGTGGAATAGGCCGTGCAATGCAGCCGTTCTATAAGCACCGGGCGTCCGCACACCCTCTTGCTCGACATCTGCTCGCCTCACTTCCCACGAGCAAAAAATCCCTAGCTTTATCTCTGCGGCTCTGATGCCAAAACGTAGTTAATAACTTTGATCGCCGTACACTGGAAATCTCACAGAGCTACTAACTTACCTCTCTTGTCGCTCAACTGTTCCGCTCTCATCGACTCAAGGCTCAGTCAATATCGATCATAACTTACATACCAATATCAATCACCATGGCTAACAGCAATGGCCCAGCACCCCCACCTCTACCTAATAGACAAGGCCCTGGACCTGGGCCATTTGGGTTGGGGCCCCCAGGACCAGCACCTCCTCCCCATATGCGTCCTCCCGGTGGACCCTCCGGACCACCTCCTGGCTTTCAGCCTCCTCCCGGTGTTCCACAAAATTCCCAGGCCCAAACTCGACGACAGGTTGATTCAACCCACTTCTCAGATATCACACCAAGAACGGCATTAGATGACGACGAATGCAGAGAGAGACTGACCACGTACGAGGCACATACGATCCAACGGCGTGTTCCGCGTGATTCGAGGGAGAAAGCTACTTGGGCGAAGGCTGTAATCACAAAGGAGTCATGGACTCAAGAAGATTTGTCGAAACAAATCAAGAAGTTGAACGAGGGCCGATCCACTGTGGCGACAAAAAAGCAAAATCTCAAGCCTTTCCAGCAAGGCCAGGTCACTCGGGTCTTGGATGTCCTAAAGACGGCAGAGATGGACCCCAACTTTGAATTTTCGCTTGTGCAGCTGGACTCCAAATTCATGCCCGCCAGGAAGAGCTCGAAGGAACGGGTAACCGCATCCATTACGGTGTATGTGAAGCGGGCCCCGCGCGAGGATCTAAACCCGATGACCCTATACCACACAATGGAGAATAAGAAAGCCGAGAAGATGGCGCAAATGAACAGACCGGCACCACCCCAACCCCAACCCCAACCACAGCCACAGCAACAAGGAGGGGGAGGGGGACCGCCACGGCTCATGAATATGCCGCCGCCGCCGCCGTTGCCGCCTCTGCAAAAGCCCAATCCTAATATCCCCAAAGTGACACCACGCAGAGACAAAAAGTACCACGATGATGACGATTCAAGTACCTCATCGGGATCCACGAGCAACACCGAGAGCGAATCGGACTATAGCAGCTCCGAAAACACCACGATCAGCTCCAGGTCGGGGAGGCATTCAAGGAAATATACCCGCAAGGGACGAGCCCACAACCGTGGTAAACGTCGAGAGCATCGCAGAGAGTATTATGGAGATGATCGAGTCGTTCACTCACCAGAACCTCGCCTGTACGATCCTTACACGCCTCGTTCTGTCCCTGATATCCCACTTGCTGCTCCTGCGTTTGATTCAGCACTGGCCGCGGCTTATAACAACCAAGGAAGACTTGATGCAGAGGCCGAGATTTTTGGCCTCACTGATCGGTATACAACTTCACGCCCTATCGAAGGGAGAACTTTTATCACCTATGGGCCTGACCGTGTAGTGCCCCGATACGAGCATCCGCCTCACTCGTTCTACCCCGAAGAAAGATACATGCGAAACTTGAGAGCACGAGACGAGGTGCCTTCCGGATGGGAACGCGATAATCCAAGATGGGATGAAATGAGACGACATGGGCAAGAAGCTGATATATACTCAGACCGTAGATCGAGTGAAGCTTCCAGGTTCATCTATCCCAACCCCAATCCTTTCGCTCCCCACCCCCTTCCGCGTCGATATCCTCCTTCAGGTCACACCAGGGGCTTCTGAGACAGTCTCTGGGATTTTGATTCCCCCTGTTTTTGTCTTGTAGAACTGGCCGCGAGGCCTAGGGTGGCCTGTCTTGCTTTTTTAACTCCTTGTGATTTGTATTTGATATCTTCAAAGACTGTAGCTCAGCGAGTTGAATCTGGCTGGTGCTGTTCCTTGTTCAGCGTCTGCTCGGTATCGTTTGGGAAAACGGATGGCTTGGTACTCATTGCCTTGGGCGTTGTTGGTATTGCTCAACCATAAGTTTGTATGTGTCGTTATTTCTGCTGGAAATGGGAGGAGGAATGGAGCCCGGCAGCGGCTCATGACTTGGATACTCAAGATTGTGACATCTCTTTCGCGGCAGGATACTATTTCCTTGTGCAAGTGAACATTTTGTAGCAGAACAAAAGCTTATACTTCAAGTATATCCCTCACAAGCCGTGAAGTCGCTTCTCATGGTGCAACCCGCAGTATTATGGGCTATACTCCGTACGGGGCATGCGTGGTTTTAACATAACAGAATAATGGGGTCTCTATGCATCGATGCCCAAATAGGTGGGTATCTACAAATCACAGGGCTGGCTGGTGTGAATGCGCCTCGCTCCTTCAGCCGTGAGCATCTCGCTGGCACCGGGCTGCGGATGATCTTTGAATGCCAACTCTGCAAATCTCAACCAGTCCCAAAGTCAAGATAGATTGTCTAAACAACCATTGGTGGCACTACGCCGCCATTCAAGCGCTTTCTCCGAGTTGTATAACGAGACGGCTGATGTTTCCCTGCGATGGGAGCGAAGTTCGGGTAAAATATATGGAGCCTTAGGTTTCAGGCCTAAATACGCTTAAACGAACTACCTACAGATGACGATTTTAGTGTGGGTTGGTGGTGGGGTACGGTCCCGCATCCCACTTGAGAGGCCCCCCCGAATAATACCGAAAGACATCTTGGACAGCTTTCCCCTTTGCCAACTGTTCATTTGCTTTTTAGATCAGATACCACCTTCGTAGTGCTTCAGAATCTTCCAAATACCCAAATCTACCAGAAAAACCCCAGTTTCAAGACCAATCGCCATCATGCCTCGTCAATTCTTCGTCGGCGGCAATTTCAAAATGTCAGTGCTTGTTTTCCTGCGCGCTGTTTGCGGGGCTTGAAGATGGGCACAGTGCTGATATTCATGGTGTGTAGGAATGGCTCTGTTGAGTCCATCAAGAAGATCATTGGGCATCTCAATGATGCTAAGTTGGACCCAAAGACCGGTTCGTACCCTCTTCTTCTACTCTGGATTTGTTGAAGCACATTAGTTGTTTCTATATTGTGCTTCGGCGCAAAATACAGTACAGCGTGCTTTGCACATATCGATCTCGTAAAATTGAGGAAGAGGTGCTAATTTCATGATGCGCAGAGGTCGTCATTGCACCCCCAGCTCTCTACCTCCTCCTTGCCCGTGAGCATCTCAGACCAGGCATCGAGGTTGCAGCCCAAAACGTCTTCGACAAGCCCAACGGAGCTTTCACCGGCGAGATCTCCGTCGACCAACTCAAAGACAGCAATGTCACCTGGACCCTCCTCGGTCACTCTGAGCGCCGTGTAATTCTGCAAGAAGACGATGCGTTTGTTGCCTCAAAGGTCAAGGCCGCCCTTGATGGAGGTCTGAGCGTTATCCTCTGCTGCGGTGAATCTCTGGAGCAGAGAGAGAACAACAAGACTATCGAGGTCGTCACTTCTCAATTGAAGGCTGTCAAGGACAAGGTCTCGGACTGGTCTAAGATCGTCATTGCGTACGAACCAATTTGGGCTATTGGTACTGGGAAGGTTGCTACCACCGAGCAAGCCCAGGAAGTCCACGCCGCTATTAGAGCTTGGTTGAAGAATGAAGTCAGCGAGAAGGCAGCCGAGGAGACCCGAATCATCTACGGTGGCAGTGTTAGCGAGAAGAACTGCAAGGACTTGAGCAAGCAGCCAGATATTGATGGCTTCTTGGTGGGTGGTGCTTCATTGAAGCCCGCTTTCGTCGATATTATCAACAGCCACCTGTGAATCCCTGAGGTTGGGAGTAGGGGCTCACGGCTTTAGAACACTCAATAAATGGTGAATAATAGATTCCCCTTTGAACCAGCTGTCCCTTGTTAACAGTCAGCTGAACTAAATCAATGTCATGCTCAACTCTGGGGTGAGGATTGTGACTGTGTGCGAACTTCTTCAAGTTTCAAGAATCTCCCCATTCTCTGTTTTCGAAGTGCTGTTAACCGATGATGGAACAACTCTGTGTTATGACTTTGCAGTTGTTCGATACTTGGCCTTTGCTGAGGTGTTTCTCTTAACCATCATTCGTCTTCTGATCGAGCGAAACCTGCAACGGATTGCAGATCACCTCTCTAATGCTACTGACGGTTAGCATCAAGTATAGATGCGTTTCTGTTAAGCCTCTTCCACCTGATAAGATTATGTTTAATCTCTGGCCTGGTGCTTCTGTTCGGAGTAGAGCTATTGAGGTGGCTTCTGAGTGATGTTCCGCGGGAGAATGAAGCGGCTGTGGAAGCGGCTGTGGAATAGATCCTGGGAAAGACCGTTGAGATTAGGGAAGCCGTCATCCATGGTACGTAACTGAAGACAGATGGCCATTGACTATCAGCATAGCGAAGACATTGCAATATATTTCTGCCATTTATAGCTTTAACATCTTGTCTCTCCAAGAGAGACTCAAACTGTTCACATATACAGCGCTCGCCATATTCCAAACGCCATTAATGAAGACACATATAGTACAACATTCAGCCTGCCTCTCAGACATGGATTCCACCGCCGTGGTACGGACTCCATACACCTCTGACACTCTCGTTTATACTCTTCACTGGCTTCGTGACCCTCTTCAACTTCTCACCACTGGCATCCCGCAGGAGCTCAGCCTTCTGTAATATCTGCTCCTTCTGCAGATTCCGCACACAGATTGCCTTCTCCCGACCATTGATGTAGTGCCCTACTATTACCGGATGCTTTCGTGGTCGAGGAGAGACGGTGATTTCGATTTGGGGGTTTGCGGCAGCGAATTTGGAAAGCGAGTGGCGGAGGAAAGAACTAAGGAGTTGGTATTAGATATGAGAAGCAAAAGGAGCCAGGGAATAAGACGTACTTCATGCCTTTTGAGCTTCCAGCCCAGTCGCAATAGTGGAAGTCAAGTCGTTTGCATTGGAGAATGAAGGCGCCGACGCCATTCTAATATATAATCAGCAGCCGTATTGCATAGATTAGATCCTTGGAGTATGTACCTGGCCGACTGTTGCTTTTCTTATGGCTTGCACCGTCATTGTGACTGCCGATAACTCGATAACTCCAGCTCGCTCACAGAGTCGTCGGGTCGCGGTTGAGGATATTTTATCCGTCACGTGCAGCACCGCGCTTCCAGGCCCAAGCGGTTAGGCTGCTGTAATAACTCCTTTTGCGACGCGACAATTTCCTCATGTACCTACCTACTTACTCATTGATTGATTCCATCCATCAACAACCAGCTCTGCGAGCTGCGTATTGAGTACTACAGCTCTGCACCGGTCTGTTGACAGCGATCGCAATGACCGATAAACTCCCTCCCAATCTCCTCGCGCTCTTTGCGCCGCGTCCGCCACTTCGCTGGGTACCTCCATCTGACCACGCGCCCGAAGAACGAAAGACAGCACACATCACAGGTGTAGCTGCTTTCCTCCCACAGCTGGAAGAGTACAAGGCCACCGACAAGTACGAGCCTACCGAAAGTTGGTTGCAACGGAAAGACCGGATTAAATTGGAGAGGAAGCAGAAGCAGGAAAAACTCCTGAAGGAGGGCCCTTTGTCCTGTGAGGGCGACCCCTTGTGTTTCGATCACCCTTTATTTTCACTCGTTCGATTTCTGGACATAGTGCGTCGTGTTCCACAAGATGTGCTAACGTTACAATGATATGCAGACAAACCTCAAGAGGATCCCAACATCCGCGGAGATGCCTTCAAGACTCTTATGGTTGCTCGACTAAGTTACGATGCCACGGAACATGATCTCGAGAGCGAATTCGGTCGATTTGGGCCCATCGAGCGGGTAAATAATATTATTCCCACATTGCTTGTTCTCTGCTAACTAGATTATAGATCCGGATAGTGACTGACACCCACCAAGACGAAAAGCCGAACAAGAAAAAGAAGAAGCATCGTGGATATGCGTTTGTTGTTTATGAACGAGAGAAAGATATGAGAGGTAAACCGATCACATCCCCCCCTTACCCGCACAACAGCCTTGCTCGCCGGATGTCAGCGTATGGTTTCCTTTGTAAAGATATGGCCCTCAAGCTGCCTATCTTCTCTCTTTTTCTTTCCGATGCCCAGGTCAAGGTATAATAAGTATGGGCAACATGACTGACCATTGCGCCTTGCTCGCGCTCCGTGATTAGCTGCTCTAGATAACTGTGATGGTATTCGGATCAAAGATCGCCGAATCAAGGTAGATGTCGAACGTGGTCGCACTGTCAAAGGCTGGAAGCCTCGCCGATTTGGAGGTGGCCTTGGAGGTCGTGGATATACAAAGGCCGTTCCTCCTCGACCAATGGGCCCTGGTGGTTTTGGTCCACCAGGTGGTCCAGGCGGGTTCAGAGGTGGTTTCCGTGGTGGTTTCGACGGAAGAGGACGAGGCGGATTCAGGGGCGGCTTCCAAGATCGCGGTGGCGGAAGGGGAGGTATTGGCTACCAAGGTGGTGGAGGCTTCTCCAGAGGCGGTTATGGCGGAGGAGATCGTGGTGGGTATAGTGGCTCGAACGGAGCCCCTCCACCCCATGCACCCGCTGGTCCAGGTGGTTCTCGTAGTGGTGGCTTCGGCGGCGGCTACAGCAGAGGCGGGTATGGAGGCTCAGATCGCAACGGTTCTGGCATGTCAGGGCCAGCTGGTGGGTATGACCGTGGTGGCGGCCGCTCATATGATGACAGATCCGGCGGATACCGCGGCAGCAGCAGTCGAGGTTATGGGGATCGTGATGCACCTCGAGGTGGAAGTGGTAGCAACATGGAGCCGGTAAGACCCAGAGACGGCGGATACCGAGACAGAGATGGCGGAGGGTATGGCGGTCGACCACGAGATGACGACTCTCGGAAGAGAGCATATGAAAGCAATGGGTACGAAGAAGATCCTCGCAAGCTGCGAAGATATTAGGGGCAGCGAGACATCATGCGGTTTGTCTTGTGGTGGGTCTTTCGAGTATTCAGTCTTTCTTCCCTGAATCAATAGGGGTAAGGGTTTCTCGATACACATTCCAGCAAGGTAATATTGCCATGGTCGCCTTTACTTGCCCAGATCCCCGACACTTTCCGACGCTTTCTTCGGCATTTATTTGCTGGATGCAAAAACTTCTCAAACTACATCATGATAACTCGACCTGCTTCAACGACTTGCATATCTTCATCGGTTTAGCAACGCCCGGGAGCTTTGGCATATCTTCTTCGCCTTCTGGCTCCATTTCTGAGTGAGAATCGCATCTGGATCTGACAATTGCAGGTAAGGTCAGAGGTAAGGCAATATACCATCTGACCCCTGACTCCGTCGCTAAAAATGATTCTTGATTGTATTATCAGAGGGGGAAGAGAGCAGGTGGTAAGACAGGATTCAGGGATGCAAAAATAGTTCTTTTGATTTCCAATAATAAGGTAGCGCCGGCCAACGCCAGTCATAATCCTAACTGTATGATACGATAGCAAAAAAACGACCCTAGCAACTTTTACTTTACTCTTCCTTCGACTCCAACTCCTTCACTTCGTTGGTTGCAGCGCTCCAGTAACTGGTTCACGTTAATGATCTATCCACATCTGGAGGGGTGAAGAAACTTACGCTAGTAATTGTACTGTGAAATCCGCAGTGGCCACTCCGAATAACTTCAATAATCTGGTTTGCCTACTGTCCAAGATCTCTCCCTCCTTACAAACTGTGTATGGATTCTCTAACGAGATCTTCCCCTTGGTCAACGTGGTCGGCATGTTCAACTTTCTCAACTCGGGCTCCAAGCTGTGCGCCATGGGCACATCATCTTCAGCGGGAATCTCCCCTCCCATCGAATAGACCAGGCCTGCTGGGACAGTAAACGATCTTGTAGCGGGAGTGCCCGCGCGCGCAAAATCGGTCTTAGAGAAATTTTTGAAGTACTCAATGACGGCGCTGGCCTCGCGATTGGTGAACAAGAGGCCTACATTCCCGACGAGGTGTTTGGAGAGGAGATGTGTGGAGGGCTGATATTCGTCTTCAGGGCTGGTGCCCAGGGCTTTGGCCATGACTTTCGTCTTGCCGAAGAAGAGTCTAGATTTCCTGGTTAGTTCTCGATCCTCCTAATTGTTCGTTTTTATACGGGGAAAAGGGGGACGAACCGGCTATCTGAAAATTCAGTCCTCACATCCTTCAGGTACGTATTGCGCATATTCTCGACGGAGAATACGAAGCAGAGTTGGTACTGGTCGAGACATTCTCGGATGTTGGAAAAGAGCTTGAGGGATAATTCCTTGCCCTTCTTATCGACCTTGGTCAAGTGAATAACCTTCGCGCGCTTGGATTTAGGCATTGTGCTGGTCGATGAGGATGCGAAGAGACATGCGGTGGGGTGTGCTTGTGGAGGAGGAAATATTCCTCGAATTATTTCGCGCTAGCGGCCGCACTTCAAGGGTACTCGTTTCGCGACAACCTCGACATTCAAGCGTGTCTGCCTCTTCGTCCGAGTGATTGTGGGTTTCTGGGCTTACAGGCCTGACTGCAGAGTTACCGGTTTTCTTTAGACATGTTGGAGTTTATGGACTATATCCAGCATGCATTCTACAGTGCCTCCCATTGGAATTATGAAAATTCATACTCTCAATTGACTTCTACCGCGCGAGGTAAGCAGCCCCTCGCCGCCCCCCCCAGGCCCCCCTTCCTCTGCTGATTCCTTGAAGCGCTGCTAGATTTCGAAACTCCGCGCGGCCTACGACTAAATGTCTCCTCGCTATCGTCGCCAAACTTTGCTACTTCATATGCGCTTGGAAGCGTTGGGCTCGTCGACGGATCTCTATCCTACCTCTACACTTCCCTCCCGTTGCACGCCACCTCGCAGAGCGGCAAGTTGAACCTGCACGATGTCATACGAGGCTATCGGCAGATCCAAGAGCTCCGCAAACCAGAAGAGTCATGGATGTGGGAGCAGTGGCTTGGAGGGAAGCGCGTAGACCAGCGTGATACCTTGCTCTACGGCCGACTCTACCTACCCCAAAGCACCCTGGAAGCATTATACCTCTGCCGGATCAGTCCGACACAGCAAGTGAAACTCTCTGCTGTTAGTGATAGCCGTCTGAAAAACGGGGGTACCATTCTGGCGTTGCATCAGTACGACGTAGGCAAATATAGCGCGGAGACGCTTTATTCTACCGATGGAGGCCTCATTGGACTCCGGGGCCTCTACAATTTTGGCCCCGACCCAAGAAAGGAAGTACCAGAACCTCCGAGAGCAGATGATCGACCTTATGGGCGGTTCAGCGCAGGAGCCGAGCTGTACTATGGGTCCTTGAACAAATCAGGCGGTGTTAGTTTTGGTGGAAGATACGCTACCCTGCCTGCGCATAAGGGAATCCCCTTGACAGCGACGCTGACCGTGAACCCGTTGATGGGGAATCTGAGTACCAGCTATGCTGTGAAGGCAGGGAAGAACCTGGCGCTATGCTCAAAGTTCGACTTTAATGTCTATAGTTACGAAAGTGACCTGATGCTAGGGTGCGAGTTATGGAGGATGAAAAAGAGAGTCGAGAAGAAAATGGAACGAAGCATGGCTGCTAAACTGGCGTGGACCGTCGATGAGGTGAAGGAGCCAACTACGCCTGAACCAGAGGAGGTTGCGGGGGTCTTGAAGGCCCGAGTTGACGAGAATTGGAAGATTGGGATTCTATGGGAGGGGAGGATTAAGGAAATGCTGTTCACACTTGGCTCATCAATCGACATGAAGAGGAAGGACCAGCCGTTCAGAGCTCTGGGCTTGGAACTGCAGTACTCGTCGTAGAGGTCGGCCATGAGGAAATCGCGCCAGGAAACGACAGGACCAAAGGATAAATTATTTGGATCATGATGGTATCTGGGCCAAATACATATACATGTGCGGCGCCCCGACTGATAGAGCTCGCTATGGGGATGGGATCTAGGACCAGAATCACCCCGATTTAGAGGATCCAACAGAAGCGGGTCCGCATTGTTGAGAGACGTGTATGTAGGAGAGCGGTGGAAGAGCTTTCGATCCTGCTGGCGAAGCCCTCCGCGTCTTGGTAACTAAAGTAGGTAATATAATGATAATGACGGGGCGAGGGGCAAAAGGCAAGGCAGAGCGATGAGCGCTCGCCGAGAAGGGCCAGGTTCACAAAACAAAAGAGACACTGTTTTAAACCATGATGCCTTTCATTCCTGCAACAATCTGGACCCTAAAGTCTCAGCCGCCGCGAGCCTTACGGAGGAGGGGAGGACCCTCCTCCCACGTGACAGCCTTTTCGGCGGATCCGAGGCTGACTGAGCGAATCAACGAGGCTCTACAAGTAAGACGATGCTGGAAATCATCGAACGACATCATATCTCGAGAAAAGCAGCGGAACTCTTCTTCCTCTCCCAAAGGCATCGACCACCACGCGCACAACGCAGCATTTTAATTCGCAGCGAGCCTTCGAGTAATGCATGAAGACCGAAGGGAGAGAGGAGACCGCCCAGAGCGCGATGGATAATCGTCTCCACAAGGCCGAGGGCAAGACGCCAACGAAAAGGCATCGTCTGCCACAGTGTTAGCACTACGGAGTAGACCCTGAACAAGCGCGCACTCGAGTGCATCACACAAGCAGGCCGATTATTATTATTGTTATTGTGAGGAGGGACAGAGTCTCGATAGGCCGTGTCTTTTGATCATTGTCTTGACGCACCGAGTGGGCCAGGCACAATGATGATTCCAACTCTGCTATAGTACCATGGGATTCCAGGTTGGCCAGCCTCACAAGCACAGGCTCTTCTCGTACCATGCAGTAATGGTACAGAGCAATGAGGGAATCGACGGGGTTTACATTCTCACTGCAGCGGGGTGGGATTATCGCACTGGGCCGTGGCTCTATTCCCGTTTACCAAGATGGTTCGCTTACCTACGCGGAGCCTCTGAGTGGAGGTCGAGGTAACCATCAAGGTGTCTGGCTGAGTGAAGGCTCGAATCTGCCCCTCTACTACTGTCTTCTCTCTCTCTCTCTGTTCTCTGTTCTCTCTCCCTTTCCTCTTCTCCTCTTCTCCTCTCTCCTCTCTTCCTTTCTTCTTCCTAAACACCATTCCTAAGTCTCCCTGCTCTCCTCAAAACATACCGTTATATACACACATGCGAAGGATCCTGCGCTGATTGCTGCGAGTCACGGGCGAGAATCCCCACTACCTCCCAAGGTATTAAGACTCTTCTCCCTGCATCTGCCTCCCCTCTCTCTGACAAAACCCGCTGACAGCTGCCCGCCCATAGCCACACATATCCCGGATTCCAGGTCTCATTTATTCCCCGGTATAAGAGATCGATCGCCTCGAAAGACCAAGTAGCCTCGCATAGATACCCGGAATCCGCGCCTCATTCTCGATAATCTCTGTTAGTGTCAAATTGGAATCCGACCCTGATAAGCCCCACGAAACCTTGTTTCCACCAGTCTTGACGCGCAAGGGCAATTCAAGAGCGAGAGGGTGCACGTGGGGAGCGGAGGAGAGAGAGTATACCAGCAGCGTGCTGCAGCGGAACTCTACGTCATGGGGACAGTGGGCCATGACTATACGATTCCCTATGAATGCGGCAGTGAGAATGATTACGATGGGCGGCTGGGCGTTCGAATATCCGCCATCTTCGTGATCGGCTTCGGCTCATTATGTGGTGTGTCTGCAGTGTTCGAGCCTGGTTCTAGTTATGTCGTACGCTGGCTGATCATCATGTAGGTGCATTATTACCAATTATGGCCGCAAGATCAAAGCGCATGCGGGTGCCACCTTTGGCCTTCTTCATAACGAAGTATTTTGGGTCGGGTGTTATTATAGCTACCGCTTTTATACATGTAAGTAAGAGTCGAGCTTCGCTACCGAGCCCCAGCTTCTAGTCTCTTTGATACTAATCTGCTGTAGCTGCTGGCGCCTGCTTCGGATGCTCTCACTTCGCCATGCTTGACTGGCCCTATTACGAATTATGACTGGGCGGAGGGGATTGCGCTGATGACTGTTTTCCTGATGTTCTTCATCGAGCTCATGGCGGCTCGATTTGATGTGTTTGGCGAACAGGCACATGATGTTGAGGCCTATGATCCAGCGATGGATCTCATTAGGCAAAGCGAGAAATATGATGCGGACACCACTGTTCAGACAGGTACGTAACAAACTCCCCGTCTGGCCGTCTTTGAATTGAGGTCCCAAAGAAACTGTCATGTGCCCTTTTGCTCCGCCTTCACGGCCAGTCTATGGAGTGCTTAAGCCTCTATATTCTGTCTGGATAAAACCCCATGCTTTCGAACCCTTGTAGCTCATTTATGTTATAGCATCATCCCAACCGCCAGAGTCCTCCGAGCAATCAAGCCAAAACGCTGATACGCTTCAAGCCGATGACTCTCCCCGAGAAAGTAAAAATGGGTTTCCCATGACTCCTCTTCCCAATTCTCATTCCCATAACCACCATAACAGTGTGCCCGACATAGAAGCTGGCGAGGATCCTTCCAAGGTGATTACTAGCAATAGCATCCCGGGAAGGGAAGATGACTTCAGCTATCCTCCAGGGGGTGAAGATCACCTTGGACACCAGCGCGAGCACATCGACGATGACCACTTTGCGGCACAAATGACGGCGATCTTCATCCTCGAATTCGGCGTCATCTTCCACTCCGTCTTCATTGGTCTTACCCTAGCCGTGGCCGGCGAGAATTTCAACGTTCTCTACATCGTTCTTTCCTTCCACCAAACATTTGAAGGACTTGGTCTGGGGTCTCGACTGGCGACTGCCGAGTGGCCAAGGAGCAAGCGATGGATGCCATGGGTCCTAGGGTCAGCTTACGGCGTTACCACGCCCATAGCCATCGCCATCGGCCTCGGGGTGCAAACGTCGTTCGCGCCGGGCAGCCAGAAGACGATGATCGTGAACGGCGTCTTCGATTCGATCAGTGCGGGCATCCTGATCTACACGGGCCTGGTGGAGCTGATGGCGCACGAATTCATGTTCAACCCGGAGATGCGCAAGAGCTCGATCAAGATGATGATGTTTGCTTTCCTCTGCATGTGTCTCGGGGCGGGCCTCATGGCGCTGCTGGGGAAATGGGCGTGAAGTAGCCACGCAGATAGATGGGTTTTTTCTTTTTACCTGGGTGTTTGGGGCGCCATGGTATGATGAAGCGGGCACGGATGGGGGATCTGATGGCTCTGGGGTCAGGATAGGGCAGGCATCACGGACATGAGAGGGCTTGCGGGACCTGCCGCTGTCATCGCAGGCAGGATGTATCGAAGGCTTTTCCATACATAATATATCACACACATAGAGTATAGAAGAGGCTATAGAAGGATACCAATCCGATCCAATCCAATCCAATGCATCCCCCTATTTCTATTGCGCTATGCATATCCCACCCTATCTTAAGGGACTCTTCTTTTTATATAGAGCCTATGTTGCTAAGCCTTCATTCAACACACCCTTTATCTCCCTCCACCCCTTCCTTCCTTACTTCAGGTCCTTAAGACTCAAATCCACAAAATTATAGAAAAGCACCCTACCCATAGCTAAAAGCGTACGTATAATCTGATTTCACATCAAAACAAACAGACAGACCATCATCATCTACATCCTACACCCTCCTACCCTACCTTACCTTGCCATATACATACCTTATATATTGAAAGAAGTACAGATCTTCACTCAATCAATCAATCATGTGTACTGTACTGTACTGTATTGTATTGTTTTGTTTTATTCTGACATTCACACCATATATAGAGAAAACGTACCACCAAGCCCCCCACCCTCCAGCTCCCTGAAAAACGCCACGAATTGTCATACATAGTACACCTACCTTAGGTAGGGGCCCCAATTGGAATACAAGCGGGGAGATATAGAGACATCTCGATTCCCCTTTCGTTCCAAAGTTCCAGTCCAGTCCCAGCGATTAAAAAGCTCTCTCTCTGTAGCCGAGGGAGGAGGAGGGGTCTTGCTAGGGCGCGTGCCTAGTTTTTTTTTTTATATGTTCCTCACTCTCTCACTCACTTTCTTTTCTCGTTCTTTCTTTCGTTGCTTGCTTTAGGTCTTTGCTTCTTCTTCTTCTTCTATCATACGCCACCCCAATCATGTAAGTAGCCAATTATCAAGGACTTGCCCAGCCGCCGGCAACGTCGACCCATTCTGCTAGGCAGGATCCTTGTTTCCCTTCCACGTCAACAATGTCCGTGTCGCATCTGCATCTGCATCCCACCCCGTTCTCCTTGACCGGATCCCAGGCATCCCAATACTCGTCTTCTTCTTTCCGTTTCTTCTCGTCCAGCGTGGTCATTTCGAGGTAAGGCGTCCGCGGAATTTGACGGGCTGGTGCATTCGCTGGACAGTGCTGGATCGTGGTGTGTCGGTAACCGAAATCACGGAAGTAGTGGATGTCGCGGGGAGCGAGGAGTGCTCCTGCTGCCAAGGAATGAATGGGCGCATCTCCCCACTAGTCTGGTCAGTATGCGCGATCTTCGATATGAGGGAAGCCTATGACTTACCCGCTCCATCCAGAATCCTCCACTGCGATCCATCATCTGGAAGAAGTCCTCGTACTCCTTACTCCTGAACCAGCTGAGTCTAGCGATCTCAAAGTTAGACCAGAAATGGCACATGTTGTACTTCTCCCCTTCCATTGCCTCGAGGTCGATATCTGGAATGGAGACATGGTTTGGGTCGCCTCGCAGGATCTCTTCCGGCAGAGGGTGCTTGAGATTTGGATCCTCTTCTGGAACGTCCTTGGGTGGATCTGGTTGAGGTTCGACAAACATCTCCCACAAACCTTGGGAGGTCAAATTATTTACTCTTTTGTATGCTGAGGCGTATCGGAAAATATTTGGAACTGTCTCCTTCAATTCCTTAACTGCGATCGTGAAGCCATAAGTCTTGTTCGTTTCAATCATCTTCAGGAAAGGGTCACTGTTTATGTTAGCCCCGCGCCCAGCATCCCAACAAGGCGACACATACTATGTAATATCACAGAAATACTTGATTTCTGGCTCCAACCGCCAGTACCATTCATACTTCTCTAGAAGCTTATGCTTGTAGAAGAACCTGTCACGCCCAGTCAGTATCCCGGTCAGTATGCCCCATGCCGTGGCCTGTTCCTACATACCCTGAGTAGAATCTGCACATGGCATGATAACTCTCCATTCCACCGTACATGATCGCATCGTCCCCCTGCTTTGCAATGCCCTCCTTTGCAACCTTCGGGTCAATCCAATCGGGGAATCCCCACATGCTCGGGTCGATCTTCCCAAACTCCACAGGAGCGCTCGTGTAGTTCACAACCGTCTCCTTGAACGTCTCATTGAAGTCCCCATCGTTTAAGAACACGTACGGGTAGTGGTACCATCGGTTGAAATGTCTCTCGATCGACTTGATGGACTGTATCACACCATCCAACTCCTTATTCCTTGCCAACACCACAAAGGCCGCATTCGCGCGAGGCTGTGAAGTATCCGGCTCTAAGCAACCTGTCACGAACACCTTATCATGCTCTTCGGATATTTTTCTGCGGAGAAGGTAAATGTTAGCCCGTCTGCACCCCAACACCTGCAAGATCTTAAGTCTGGCGTACCTGATGGCTGGTGGAGCTCCGGCTGGCATTAACATGCCGACCCCTGATTTAGGATGGCGGACAAAAAGCACTAGGATCAACACCACGACGATACATGGGAAGAGGAGCACGACGCCGAGCGGTATCGAGATGTTGGAATTGCCCTTTAAGCGCAGCGGCCGCCGGAAAAAGGCCAATCTCGAGGAGGCTTTCGATTTCGTCTTGACGTCCTCGACCGACGGTAGATTAGGCGCCGAAGGCAAGCGCTTCAGGACTCTCTGCACGAAACCCATTGGCACGGTTGTGGGGGGTGGATGTTCTCGGGGGGGAGGGATTCTGATATAGGGGGGGAAACTGTTCTGGTATCGGGTGTCGTGGGGAAATTCCCGTTGGAGCCGCCGGTATTACAAGAAGTACTTAGAAACGCGAGGACGAACTGAAGGAGATACGGCCAACGTCGACCGCGCTGATCCGATGCAAAACCCGGCTGTTAACGAGCGGCTGGACGAGATGTCCTCGAGAGAGAAGCAGTTTGCGATGACGCGTCGGATAGGGGACTTGAGGGTCTCCCGCACCGAGACGTGGCAGACGGAGTGGGAGATGGGGCTATGTCATCCACAGCAGAGGGGGGAGATGTCGCCGTTTTCGAAGCCCGGATCTGACGAGGAGGGACGAGGAGGAGGGCGATGAGGATGGGGGGATGGAGAAGGAGAGTGAGGAGTTGGGAGTTGGAGATCGTCGAGGGGATTTTTCTTGTTGCGATGGGGGACGTTTGACTAAGGTACAAGGACTCCGCGCAGCACGCTTATGGGCCACCGTACAAACATATATAGCAGCAGACACATCGGGACTAGCGTGCCACAGCGGCACACCGGGGCGTCCGTAGAACCTCAGGCGAAATGTTCAATTTCACACTTAATATGAGAGAGTCTTGGCACAATGAGCCCCTTTCCGGCCCCGGCTGTGGCTGGCTAGAACATAGAAAGGGGGCGCGAAGGATTGTGGTGCTGGAGATCCTGACTCGTGTGAGGAGAAGTGCCTCTGCTGTCGATATCTGTCATTCCAGAGTCGTATTATCCTGGCGCGCTCTTCCTCGCGCTCTCTTCCATGCTGCTGTATAGGTAGGTAGGTATCTGACAGGAGGGCCGAGGCTCTAGCAGAGAGGCAAAGAAAGCATTACGGCGGACTGTAGGAGACAAACGGGACGGGAGTGCAAAGGGTCCTCACGCGACCATCTGGGCTGCCGTACTCGTATATTCGTATCTGTCTATACGATATACGATACTCCGTACTCCAAATGTTATACCCCCAGACCAGTCGACAGGAAAAGCATCCAATTATCGAAAGCTGATTTGATCCTTGCACTGCGAGATCGTGTTTCTTCCAAGACCTGCTTCTCTGCTGCGCTTGCCCTCCAATAATACCATACCATTCCAGCAATATACGCGGCGCCCCCCCCCCCCCCTTGTACCCCTCCCCCCCAGATCCTCGAAGCAACCAACCCAACCCAAGCCAAGCCAAGCATCACATCCCCCCGCCCACAACAAAACCCCACACACATAATAAAACACAAACACAATAATGTCCTCCAAGATAACGTCCAAGAATCTACACTACGACAGCACGTTGCCGCCCTTCCTAGCGCGTCTGCGCGCCTCGCACGCTTCGCGTGATGGACGCCATGAGATGCCGGCCGCGAGGCCGAAGCGCGCGCGCGACGCCGACGACGACGCGGAAGATGAGCCTGTGTATGTGGATGAGGAGACGGGCGAGACGGTGACGAGGAGCGAGTTTGAGGAGCGGGAGAGGGAAATGGAGAGGGGAGAGGGAGGGGGAGAGAGAGAGGCAGAGGGGGAGGAGGGGAGGGTAAAGGAGGATGAGGGGATTAAGGAGGGGAGAGATAAGGCTGGTGTGGTCGGGATCAAGAGGCGGAAGGCGAGGAGGATTGTTGGGGAAGAGGAGGAGGAAGAGAAGGAAGGTGGTGCAGGGGATGAGGAGAAGAAGCAGAAGGGGGAGCCGGAGGTGAGGAAGTTGGAAAAGGGGAAGGTGGCGAAGAAGGGGAAGAAGATCAAGTTGAGCTTTGGGGATGATGAATGATTCTCTCTTCGTCTTCTTCTCCTTCTTCTTAACTACCCCTCTCTGGGAGTGAGGAACGGAAAAAGGTATTTGGCATTGGGATTGAGATTGGGATTGCATATGGCATTGGAATTCGGAGTGGCATATGGCATGGGCTGGCTTGCTTCTATGATACCCCTACTGCGTCAAATCACTTTTAAAAATCAAGTAAACTACACATCCGATACTCACATCCCATGGTGGCAAGGTTGTGTGTAAGTAAATCTTTTTTGCAAGCTTTATTCCTAGGTAGCTAGACCCTTCCGTAGATCTGACCAGCTGCGCCTTCGCCCCGTCCGAGATACAAATCAACTGATATGTATGAGTACCACTTATTGACCGAGCCACGCCTTCCATTGCACGAAAAACAGAAAAGAAGGAGAAAGGGAAAAGCAAAAAAGGGAAAGAGATCTCGCGCAGATGATAAGAACCGGGTCCATGCTCCCTCTCCTTGCAGCAGAACGCCGATGATAGATGAAAGAAGTGAGAAGTCACAAAGCTAGGACCTGTCCAGCTGGCTTCACGAGAGTCGAAATCTTGCAGTAGTACAATGATGTGGTATCAAATCCCAAATCCCCTGTATTCATGCACGAACCTCCTTGGAGACGAAATCCCAGAGCATCTTGACCAAATTGTCCGGGAGGGTGTATAAATCGACGTGAAACTCGCCCTCTGTGGAAAGGTTAGATCTCCAATTCTAGAGCACACATGGAGCTACTCACGATCGATGTCGTTCTTGGTGTATGTCTCCTCGGTCTTGTTATCATGTATCATCTGCACCACATGCAGCAGATCATCCTCGTTCAACTTGACCAAGCCGTCTGCCAGCTTCTCCATATCGATAGCGCCAGCGGTCCGCTTCCTCTTCTTCTCCGCGTCGGTCTTCTTTCGTGCGCCATTCTCATCACCTGGGACAGGGCCAGTCTCGCGAAGCAGGTTGATCAGCGCAGCGCTCGGGTTCTTGAAGGTGATCTGGTGCTTTGCTTCGTAGCGGGGCTTCGCAAAATTGAGATCGTGGACGAGCGTATGCTTGCCACCCTTCTCCGTAGTGTACAGGTCAATTGTCATGTCGAACTCTCCCCAACCTTCATTTTCGCAGCGGAACGGAGGTTCGGTGAATGCTACGCAAGATCGACGAGTTAGTGGATAGTGAGGAAGACAACGCTGGGGGAGGAAATGCTAACTCTGAATAGGGTTGACGAAGGAAGGGTGCAAGTTGTAGGTGACCTTTGTGAAACAGTTCGCCGGCTTCTCGTTCCCAGCTTCGTCTAGCAAGAAGACCTCAATGTTCCACGACTTCATTGGGAAGCCCTCCACCTCCGAGGGCTTATCACTGAAGAGTGAGTGTCAGCGCATGATTCAACACGTCACGGATGAATGAGGGAGGGAACGAGGAGGAAGACTGGGCGTACATGTTTCGCTGTTCCGTGATGAATTTCACGTTACGTTTGATCTGCGGAGTATTCAATCAGCTTTCGATCTCCTCATCTTCGGGTGTCTCCGAGATTCTCAAGCTTTGGAGAGCAAGCTTTACTCACATCCGCGACCATGATGAAGTATTTGCGCTTGGCAGAGAACGAAGGTTGTAGGCGGCGGTTGGGGGATTGTGAAAGCGTTCGGAACGTGAAAGGTTGCGAGGCGCGACGTCAAATGATCGCGGTGGTAAGGTAGTGGGGTCGGGTCACCGTTACCTGGCCGCGTTTCGTTCCCTTGGGGTTCAATAGAGTTCGGGGCTAAAAGGTAATTGCTAGCCGTTCCTGGATTGCCACGTGATTCTGCTTTAGAAAAAAAAAGGAGTGAATTGGAATCGCCATATAGGTAGGTAGGAGTTTGACAAGAAAGTTACGCAGTGGAATGGAAAGAATCGAGTGGCCGGCGAGTCTATCAAGGGGAGATAGATGCACTCTAACTTAAAAGGAAACCACAACTGGCTCCAAGCTGGCTTCAAAGGACAAAATCACAGCACTCACTCAAAGAGCAGGACGGGGGACAAAGAGGGACTTGTATTTAGTCTAACTACGATCTCATGCCATAGCCTCGAAATCGAGGACTATATTCAAAGGCTTCCATTGTCCTCCACCACCATCAGATCTATGGTTCCGCTCCAGATCAAGGCCGAGACCGCCAGGATGTCAGGGCTCAATACTCGAGGAGTGTCACAAACATGCTTTCTTTCGAATGCATTCGCGTAAGGGGTTGACGATTATGGGCAAGGAATTTCGTGCAAAAGGGGCTTCGTGACTTTCGTGAGTGTGGGGTTGGGGCTGTGATTGAATCCGCGTGGAGAGAAGGGAAAGGCGCTTGGGACGAGCGGCGATTACGACGTCGCGAACAGCGGCTCGTTCTCTTGCTGGGCCTTGATGAAAGCATCCTTGAAGAGGTTTGCATCTAGATATGGTATTAGCCTCCTGTAGATACTGGATAAGGGAAGAAACTTACTCTCGGAGTTTGCAAATCGGATAGCAAGAGTTTGTGCCTCGGGCTCGCCCTCACTGACATCAGCGGCAGCGTTCCACACCCAACTTCTGTCACTGCCAACATTGGGGGAGAGCTTCATGTCGGGAACAACTGCCAGATGATTAGCGCAAGAACAAAATTTTTACCAGAGCCCGTCTCAACATACTGTAGTGGTTGGCACAGACCTTCAAGGTCTTGTCTCTTCGCATGACCAATCTCGTCTTGCCGTTCTCCTTGTGCTTCAACAGTCTGACGTCGCCAGTGCCACGCTCCTTCCACTCATTAGACTCGCGGACGAACTTGAACAGCTTTGCGCGCATCTTGAAGGTCTGTTCCTCGAGCTCCTCGTTGGTCTTGACCTCGACTTTCTCAGTGAGGCGGATGACGGGCTCGAAGTGGACATCCTCGGACTCGGGGGCTTCCTCCTGCACACACACAAACAGTCAGCATCGACCACTATCTCTCAGTCTCTCTTGTGGGTAGGGTTCAATATACCTCGGGGTTCTCCTCAGCAGCGGCAGCCTTCTGGGCCTTTGCGGATCCGGAGTTGTCGCCACGGTCTTCATCCTCTTCCTTTTTCTCCTTCTTGGCACCCCCACCAAACATAGAGAACACATTGTCGGAGACGGCGCTGGCTGCGCCGCTGGTCTCCTCGGTCACAGTCTAATTAATATCATTGTCAGCATGTGAGCCATCTACCAAGGGAAGTGAGGGAGAGGGAGATCCAGTACGCATCTCGCAGACTGGGGGTACATACCGCGGCGGGGGCTTCGCTCGCAGCCTCGTCTTTTTGAGGGGTCGTGGCAACCTCTGTCTCACCGGTTGCTAGCTCGGTCTCAGAGGTAGCGGGGGGCGCGTCGGCCTTGGGTTCGGTGCTTGCATCCGCCATTCTGCTGGATGTGGTCTCGGGGTGTGTAGGAATGTTTTTCGCGTTGGGGAGAGTGTGTGATGACCGTAAGGGACTGTAGTCTGGCGGGATGGTCAGGTAATGCAAGTTGGTAGGCAGACGAGACCCCCCCCCCCTCTTATTTGTTGTTGTGGACGTTTGCGGTGGAACTACTAAGCGAATTTTCTAATCTAGCGCCTCGCGCCTATCGCTGCCCCTGACGACTTTCTGCTGAACACGTCTTTCTGATATTTCAACACTTTACTCCACTTTTCAATATTCCTTTTTGGGATATGAATATTCATTACATAGACACGGCACGCACTCCTGCAGATATGTTATAGTTCTTGCCCTAGGTATGCCGCAGCCGGGAATCGGGTTCAAGCTACCCCATAAATTTCACAACCGCCGTCTCACCCAGTCTATATAATTCAACAGACAAAAAGCTTATGAAGGGTATGTTGCAATACGTAAAAGACTATGACACCGTATACACCAGTGTCCATTGCCCAAGCCAGTCCAGTGGCGATGATGAAGTGGAATCCTCGAAATTACTCCCTCCCTCAGGCCGCCGCTGGATCCATATCCCATCCATACCCTGCTCAATCAGCAACTCCAAACCTGGAAACGAAGTCCCCTCAACCCGATTTATCAAAGCAAACAAGAAACATGCCGTACTCCCAAACCTATCCATGTATCAAATCCTAACTAAGTACGCGGTTTCCTTCCACCCTTCTTAGCTGCTCGAGCTTCTTTCTTTGCAGACTTCTTGGCAGCTCGTGGTGTTTGCTTCCTCTCTCCCGGATAAGCCTGAGACTTTTTCGAACCCGTCGCTCTGCTACGAAGTGCCTCAGCAGCACGTTCTTGGTATTCACGGTGCTCTTCATCTTTTCCTTGAAGTTTCAGCCATAGAAGCTTGGATTGCACCTGGGCCTTCAATAGTCCACTATTGATGGGTTCTCTGAGGTCTTCCAAGGACTGAAACTTTTTGGACAGCTTGGCTTCGGCTTTGGCAAACTGGATGCCAAGCTCCTTGGAAAGGATAGCACTGCGTTTGGCAGCCTCAAGAGATATTGACTTTGCTAAGTCTGTAAGGTGTGCAGTAGTAACGGCTGCATGCTCTGTGGCCGCTCTTCTCGCCTCTTCCATGTGGACGAAGGTAGATCGAGAGCGAGCATGCGAATCCTCGACCATCTTTTCCACCATAGTGCGCATTTTATCAAACATCTTTGTGTCGATTAAAGCGACGTCTTCCTCAAACAGAGATGACAACTTATCCAGAATGCTCTGCCATGTCTGAGCTATGGTTGTCCCAAAGTCTACCTGGAATATCTCATTAACTCGCGGCTTCTTCGTGGTAATAATGGAGATGTTGAGAACACCGTAGGCTTCGTTCTTGGGTAACAAGAGAACAATCCCATCGTTGGAACTGTAGGCTCGCTCGGTATCTACACTCACGTTACCGCGAGTAATGTTCACGGACAATGCTTCCTTGGTAAGCCAGCTAAGCTTCGTCGCTGACGCAATGCGAATCAAGATCTCTCTATCTCCCAAGATCTCAGCAGAACAGAGGGATTGATTGGCAGGCTTGCCCCGATCTTGGACTGCTGGTGTCAACTTCCCTATTTCCATTGAAGGCAGCACGGCAAGACTATTCGATCCTTGAGAAGGGGCATGGGTGACTGTTATTGTCCGCGTAGAGGTCTTAAACACAGCGGGAGTTGATGTGACGCTCATTACCGGGGTAGGCGGGGTCGATGAGCTTGTAGAGATTGGCACGGCTGACATTACCTTACTATTAATTGATATTGCTGGGCTGGAGGAAAATCGGTAAATCGGAAGGCCGGTAAATACAGCAGTAAAGACACTTAGAAGGAGCAGACCGACTGGTAGGAGCGCTCTCCATTCTGCACCACTCCGGTTGCGAATGAAACTGGCACTATCGCTGATGCTATGCGGTGTCTTCTCTAGGTCTTGAGAATCGACAAGTGTAATTTGAGGCTTCTTTGACGGGCCTGGAGGATTTGAGATCTCGAGCGGTTCGTGGAGGCCAGTTATATATGCCAGGTTTCGATTCATCTGTCTCGCGTCGATATTCAAGAAAGAAGCCAAGTCTATAGGTAAGCGACGATGAATTATGTTTCCTTTGCCGTTGGAGTCTCGTGATTCCAAGCACATATGGATCGAGTGTTGATCGAGTGACATACATTGGCCTCTGTCGAACAATTGCTTGTGTGATATAACGATAGAAGGCACACCGTGACGACCCATGAATTTCCTGGCGACAGTTGCGGTACGTCGTGTTTCGAGATCGTCATTATCAGAACAGTAGAAGATTGCTACATGAGGAAGCTCCCAGTGTGGCTCGACAATAAACCCTTGTCCGTCGGGGACCGAGTGGTAGGAGAAGTTACCATCGAGGGTTACTTTTATAACATCAGGCCTCTCAGGAGTATCCTCGTATTTCAGGCTCTGCGCCAAAATGCAATCCTCGACCTTGATCTGGTAGCCAGACGAATACATAAGCTCAATCTCAGGGGTCCGCTCGGAGCCAAATGCTGATACTGGAACGACGTTGTAGATCTGAGAAGCAGAGTGACGCAGATGTTGTGCTCGGTTCCCACTGTCGACTGATGCTGTGACAGAACTGGCAACCTTATGGATGATGTCCTGCTTTGCGGAATGGCTGCCCACGTAAAGGATGCGTAGAGGATCTCGGGTGGATAGGCCTTGCTTGGTCATAGTCTGGCGAATAGTGACAGCAAGGCGTTTTGGTGGGTTTTGCAACGTCATTCCTTTGAGAGCACTGGCCGTCTGCTGCTCGTTGAGATCAGCGATCGTGTGCTTGACGGAGACGGTCTCAGCCCCAAGGTTGAACGGCTCTTCAAACTCGATGGACTGAACGAGTGGTTTATCGAGATCTTCGGGCACGAATGCAGAGCTCTGCCCTATCGTAGGAGTGCTGAAAAGATGTTCGTCGTTATCATCGAGGCCAGAGAAGTGGTGAGCATCGGAGGTTCCGGGGCCATCGTCCTCTCCGCTCTCGTCACCACTCTGGGTATCTGCGAGGCTGGCCACATCATCTGGACGACCGAAATCGGTCGAGGCAACCGATTCCGTGGCATTATCATCTCGGCTGTCCTCGTCTGTATCGACAAACTCATAGGAAAACCCGCCGAGGCTATTCTCGTCAGAGGGAGCCTCGCTGGGGGCCGACATGGTGGCGGCGGGAAGTTTTCGAACCCAGTTGCTGATCCTCTCGTCTGCAACGGGAGCGGGGAGTCGCAGCTGAATCTCAGAGGTATCCGGGGTTGGTGTTGTGCGATGCGGAAAAGGTGGGTGCTGGCTTTGTGATTCCATGCCGTTAGCTTTGTCGGGTCATGGTATGTCCCAAGAGGACGACGTTGAGTGCAGAGCGAGGGCGGTAACGGTAGGAGCGAGGAGGGTAGAGCAGAGTGGAGTGGGAGGAGACGAGAGAATCTTACTTGCGAGACTCGATATGTGGGTGCGAAGAAAGTAGTTACTTGCGGGAAGCTCCCGGGAAACGTCGTCACTGACTGAACCGTTCGTTGCCTACGGGACTGCGTCAGAAGCCGGGGGGCGACTGATGCGGGTTAACGCTGGAAGCGCGAGGAACAAGAGACTGGCTGAAAGGAGGTCGAGAGAAGACAGGAGACGTGGCAGATAGGAGAAGGAGATGGAGGTTGGAGGGAGTTGAAGGGATGGAGAAGAATGGAGGAGAATGGAGGAGGAGTTGTCGTCGTTGTCTGTCGCTGAGGAGGGGTGTCATACTGTACCTACGTAGGGAGGGGCCTCGCCGCCTAATCCAGTAAGGCGGCCCGCGCTACGGTGGAATCAGGCAAGGTAGCAGCGCGATAACGGCTGGAGGTACGATAAGATACTGATATTTATTCTCTGCGCAGATAGATATTTATCCCAGAGATGATTCCACTATTCGATATCTATACTCTAGCCAACTATATCTACCTAGATCTCCTCCTCTCAAGCCCTGTGATTTTTTCGACAAAGGAAGAAGTGTCCAGCGGGTTCAGCAAGAGGCTAGGCATGCCACTTGTCACTCTAATAGGTTCATGCAGTGATGGTTCATTAATGACTTATCATCACATAGGCGGAGGAGATCTCGAATAATGCATTGAGGACAGAAGGGTAAGCTGCCGAACTCCATGTTCTTCTAGAAACTTGATATCACTTAAAATAAATAAAACATGAACTCAATAAACACGAACGAATATGCTGCTGTGAGGCTAATCTAATCGTACTCCTACAGCCAATCCATTTTCCAACCAGACTGTTCCCCACTCGCTCCCCTGTCCGCCATTCTATATACCAAATTGAAGATTGAGGCAATGATTTCTCCATCTATTCCGCAACCCAGACCGCCGCCATTCCCATCCCGGTACCGACACACATGCTCGTGACCCCGATCTTCTCCCCTCTCCTCCTCAGCTCGTACAGTAACGTGCTGACCTGCCGAGCACCGGTACAGCCAAGCGGGTGGCCAAAGGCAATTGCACCGCCCTTGGGATTGATCTTCTTCGGGTCCAAGCCCAGCTCGTTCGCGCACCATACGCACTGCGAAGCAAACGCCTCGTTGATCTCAAAGATATCCACATCGTCCTTGTTGATCCCCGTCTTCTCAAAGACCTTGGGGATGGCGGCCCAGGGGCCGATACCCATCAGCAGGGGAGCGACACCCGCTACTGACGCGGCGACATATTTGCCAAGGATGGTCTGCCCCAGCTTCTCAGCCGTTGAGCGCTTCATGAGAAGAACAGCTGCTGCACCGTCGGAGATCTGGCTGGCATTTCCGGCATGGATGGAGCCGTCCTTTGCAAAAGCTGGCTTGATCTTGGCCAAGCTCTCGGCAGTGATGCCAGGTCGGACCCCGTCATCTTTCGAGACAGTTATCTCCTTGACATCGCCAGTGTTCGGGTCCTCCCACTTCACCGTCAAGGGAGCGATCTCCTCATTGAAGAGACCAGCTTCTTGTGCCTTGAGGGCTTTTTGGTAGGAGGAGGCCGCGAAGGCATCCTGAACTGTGCGGGGGATGTTCTTGTCCTTGGCCATCTTTTCCGAGAGGACGCCCATGGGTACCTTGCAGTTCTTGGCTTCAGGATGCGAATCTAAGAGTTCGGAAAATTCAGTAACGGCACCGGGTCTAATTAGCACGTATTAGTAGAGTCTTCTCGCGCATGGTGAAGTGGTTGGCTGTGCATACCCGTATTGTGAACTCATGCTCTCGACACCAGCACCGATACCAATATCGATCATGCCCGACTGAATAGCATTGGCAATATCGACACAGGCCTGCAGACCAGACGAGCACTGTCTGTTTAAGCTCCTAACCGCCGCAGTGACTGGGAACCCAGCCGCCAGCGCCGCAGCACGGAACTCAGTCGCCCCGCCACCAGGGGCGAGGACCGAGCCCACCGCGATGTCCTCGACCAACGCCGGGTCAATCTTCGAGCGGTCGAGGAGAGCCTTAAAGGCTCCCACAAGCAGATCCGCCGCAGCAGTGTCCTTGAATCCTCCTCGGCCGCCCTTTGTGAATGCCGTTCGAAGACATGCCGTCACGACAATCTGCGAAAAGCTGGTTAGTCAAATGCGCGCGTGGAATGGCTAAAGGAGGGGAGGCTCACATCGTCGGGGTTCTTCTGTAAGAGCGCAGCGCGCGCGCTGTCACCTTCTGTAGGTGTGATACCACTCTTCGAACCTGCAAGATGGCCAGAGACCTGCCCAAGCCGTTTCTGAGCTGTAGCGAACGTCACGTCAGCCTCGCTCACCCTCCTGAAAATGTGTGGGAACTCCTCACCTGCAGACATGATGGCGATGTGTGAATGAGAGATGGCAATCAATCTATCAGACGGTAAATCTATGATTGATTTTGAAGAGGGAGTTGGACGATAATTATATTGTTATATCACGAGGAGGACGGTAGTTCTAAGTTGCCTCGACGGTCCTCAAAATGAGCCGAGGCAGGCTGCTGATTGGCCGCAGCCACATGTCACATTTCACATGCGAATTCGGGAATCCGGGGAAGTTCCAAAAGCCGGCCAATGAAAGTGGGGCTTACGTCACGCGATGCGAGGAGGGAAAAGGGACCTTGGGATTTGCATGTGCAAAGTGCTGCAGGCAAGAAGGGCCCAAGGAATGATGATAGGCAGGTAGGTCAAGAATAGCCTCATTCTTTGACTCTACGCAAAATACGTTTCTTTTAATCCCAGCTAATTAGTCCTGAGCAAGAAATGGATCCGAGATAATTGAAGATACCCTGAGCTGCCGCACTGCTTGCATTTGAGCCATGTGTATTTGATATTTATTTTCCCATTCATTATTATTTTCTTAAGGTGCCCATTCACTTGGTGGGTATTAAACTAACCTATTCTACAATGCTGAGGTTATCGGCACGAACGTGAACAACTCGCTCAACACTCCTAAACTCCCTCCCATCCATCATCATCATCATTAATTGGAAGAAATTAGGCATCGTTCTCCTGTGTCTGCGTGCTCTCTTCGGCCTCCTCGGCCTCTTCGGTCTCCTCAAGCACCCAGCCCCTACTCATCTGGACTGCTTGCTCCCACTTCCTGAACATAGCCGCACTCTTCTTCTTGTTCACCTTCGGATAGAAAATAGTCCTATCTTCCCTGTTGATCTGCTTCAGCTCGTCAAGCTCCTTCCAGGTGCCTACTGCAAACCCTGCAGCAATGGCGGCGCCGAGGGCTGTCGTCTCCCTCATCAGAGGTCTGTCGACGGGGATGCCGATGATATCTGCTTGTGTTTGCATGGTCAAGTTCGAGGTGGACATGCCACCATCGACTGCAAGACCTTCCAGTTTGTGTCCGGAGTCTTTCTCCATCGCGTCCAAGATAGCCTTGGTTTGGAAGCAGGTCGCCTCAATGGTGGCGCGGGCGATGTGGCCTCGTTGTGTGTGTTGTGTGATGCCAACTAGTTACTTATATCAGTTATATATCCTCAAAGGTTAGAAAGTCCAGGGAAAACTTACACAATGTTCCCTTTGCGTCGTCAATCCAGTAAGGAGCGAACAGACCACTGAAAGCAGTCACAAAGACGACGCCCCCATTATCTTCAACGCTCTCCGCCAACTCGGTAATCTTGCTCGAGTGTTTGATGAACCCCATGTTGTTCATCAAGAATTTCACTCCGGATCCAGCAACCGCCACGCTTCCCTCCAAAGCGTAGGCTGGTTTCCGTCCGCCGCCAAAATCGTAGGCAACAGTAGCAAGGAGCCCGTACTTCGAGATCACTGGCTTCTCACCGACGTTGTAGAGTAAGAAGCAGCCCGTGCCATAGGTGTTCTTAGCCTCGCCCGGGTTGAAGCCACACTGGCCGACCAGCGCTGCCGATTGATCACCGAGACAGCCCGTGATCTTGATGCCCTTTAGGGGGCCGGATGCCAGCGCGCCGAAGGCATCCTTGTCGGATGAAGGGACAATCTTGGGGAGAGTGATGTTCTTCCTGTCGAGCTTGAAAAAGTCGAGCAGCTTATCATCATACTGGAGCGTGTGCAGATTCATGAACATGGTTCGGGAGGCGTTGGTGGTGTCTGTCACGTGGACACCTCCCTCTTTCCCACCATTCAGCTTGTATATCAACCAGGTGTCGACGGTCCCGAAAGAGCATCTGCCTTCATCATAGGCCTTCCTGACTGCTTCTACGTTTTCGTAGAGCCACAGGAATTTGACGCTTGCGGGGTAGGTGGAGAGCGGCAGACCGCACAGTTGTGGCAACTCATCTGCGCCTTTGCGCTTCTTGAGCTCGCGGACGATGCCCGTGGTGCGAGTATCGGGCCAGACGATGGCGTTATATAAGGGCTTGCCGGTGTTGGTATCCCAGCAGATGATCGTTTCTCGCTGGTTCGTGATACCAATGGCTTTGATGTTGGACTTGGTGTAGCCCAGGTCGAAGAACCGCTCTGTCGCCTTCTCAATGCACTCTTCGACGGTAGCAGCTAATTCCTCTGGATCGTGTTCATGCCACCTGCGAAAGCAACATTAGCCTCAGAGAAGCGGCGCAGAGGTTTGATGGATGGCTTACCCTGACTGCGGAAACTGGTTGCGAAATTCAATCTGGTGGCTCGCAACGGGGTTCCCTTCCCCATTGAAGATGAGGAAGCGCGAAGAGGTGGTTCCGCAATCTATGCTGCCAATGAACCATTTTGACTCCAGCTCCTCCTGGGTCTCTGAGATGCCGTTGGGGAGATGCTCCTCCTGGGACTCTACGATGGGGATGGTGATATGCTCAACATGTTTTGATTCGAAGGGTGAGCCGAAGGGCGAGTCGAATGACTTGAAGACCTCAGCGCGAGGGGTTGGGAGTCCAAAAGGCATTGAATCCATTGTGTGGTGGTGATAGAGGACGAGGTGAAGCTGGAGCGAGGAGGAAGGGAGGCAGAGAAAGGGACAGAGGGGAAGTGGGACCGGGGTTGGCAATGACGCCAATGAGGCCCGCGTCACCACGGATGAGGGTGGCAAACTGGGTCGGGGGTGGGTCTTGGGCAAGATATTCAAGAGCCGAGGAGGGATTGACAAGATGACGGGCCTGAGCAGGGATGATGATGGATGAGACTGTATGGATGGATGGGACTTGATGGCAGAGAGGGTCTGATGGGGGATGGATAATGGGAGAGCAGTTGGTTCTTTTGGGGGGGTGGGGTTGGGGGTTGATGAGAAGAGAGGGGAAGGGCGCGAGGGGGGATGGACAGTTGAGAGAGAGGAGAGAGTTGAGGAGGAGAGAGGAGAAGAGAAGAGGAGAGGAAAATGGAAGAGGGGGGAGAGAGGGGAAGAGCAGCTTTTGTACAAGAAAATGGGGATAACGAGAGGGGGGGGGAAGAGGAGGAGGCGAGAAGAAGGGGGACGAATGGAAGAATAAGTAGGTAGGTAATAGAGTTGGGTAGTTGGGTAAGGTAGTAGTAGTTGGTAAGTAGTAGCTAAGGTAAGTCGTAGTATTAATCGTAGTCGTAGTCGTAGTCCCTCCCGTAGTCGTGTGAGCTGGAGCGGCGGGCGGGGAGGGGAGGGGGAGGGGAAGGGAGCGAGGACGAAAGGCGAAAGGCGAAAAAGGCGAGGGGGGCAACGATGTGAGTAGTGGAAAAATGGGGAAAAAGGGAAAAAAAGGGCAGCAGAAACAAGTTACGGCGATGACATCGTGCAAGGGGCGGGCCCGACGAGAGGGAGGATCAACAGGCGTGCATATGCGCTACTGGGCGAGGGACGACTGGGTATTGGGGAATTGGGGATCTGGAAGCTGGAAGATGGAAACCGAGGAGTGGATGATCCGGATCTGGGTGTGGAAGCTACGCTGCTACGGGGATGTAAGGCTGGGAGGTGTTTATGGGAGATGGGAGATGGCAACAGTGAGGAATTCCCACCGTCAACCCCACGGATGAATGCCACTCTGGACGAGAGAATAACAATACTACTACTCACAAATAATACTACTCAGAAATAACAATATAATCATCACCATCAATAACAATACCCAAAGAATCAAAATAAAAACCAAATAATAATAATAAACCCTGCAAATGATATATAAATAACCCCCCGACAGAAATCGACCTGCCATGTGACCCTCCGGTCTGGGCCCCTCGCCACGCCTTCGGAAGCCGGTGCCAGTCTGGATGGGCCGGCCGTGGCGGTGCGCAGGTCCACAACACCATGGCCCATGGGCAAATATCGATATCTCATCCATCTCCAGACCTCCATGGTTTATGATTACCTAGGTATGATTATGATTATTCTGATTATTCTGCACTCTACACCGACGGCTGCTAAGGGGACTATCGGGCACTACGGCCCAAAGGTGCTACTGTTCTGGGCCAAGTCAGACCTGCTAAGTTGGTTTAGAGCTATACTCACATACTTGAATAAGGCCTTGGATAATACCTACTTGACTACTTACTTGCACCAGCTGCAAGGGATCTCGCTCAAAACCCACCCGCCCGCTGCACGACCCGCGGCACTACTCTAGTACTCGTAGTCTAACAGTCTAACTCCTGAGCTACAGAAGACTACAGAAGAGACTACACACGGACATCGACCCGGCTGACCGTCGATAAGTCGTCCGGACCACGCCCCAGCCATCCTCCCGGTCCGAGTAAGCTTTCGCAAGCGCTCGGCTTACCTTCCAAACCTCCCAATCTCCCAATCCTCCCCCCATCGAAACGCCACAGCACAACATCGTCAAAAAAGAAAAAGGAAAAAGGTTCGAGGCCTTGTCCCCGACTCCCCCGCGAGTCCCTGCGCGCCAGAATACGATGGCTGAAACTTGCCTGGTCCATGGTCTGGTTAACTTTCTCTGCCCGCGTGATGCTGCTGCCCCATTATAAGACCCATTGTAAGACCCATTATTCTGGAATTAGACGTGAATCCTTTGCCCATTCTTATTGCATTACTGCTGTCGTGGACTCGTGGACTCTCGTGGGTTATCAAATTTCAGATATCAGGATGCGACTGTGCTACGGGCGTTGGGCATTGCATCTCCGGCCCTTGAGGGAGCTCGGTCCGGCGCTCTGCATCCGCGCTCATGGCTTCAACCACTCTCATCTCTCAATTCGAGTCTCATGATGATGGCTTCTTTTTTTTTCTTTTCCTTTCTCTTCCTTTCCGCTCCCTCTCACTCCTCCGCTCCCTCTCGCTCCCCCCCCTTTTCCCTCCCAAAATAGTACAATGGCCATCTTGTGATCTCTTTAGCCAACTCGGAGCCCCCCCCCCCCTTTCCCCTGCTACCCGCCTCTCTGGTCCGAACACACTCAATCTCGCATCTTGACTATTATTTCTTTGATCCCTAATCCTGTCTCACTCCTTGTAGTAGTAGTACTCATTCATGCAAGGTACACACACCGTTCTTTATTCATCACGGCTACTGTGCTACACTACTATCGCAATCTCCAATTTCATCGTGTCGACCCGGCCCCCCCGCGCTGTCACCCACTCCCCCCTTCTCTCCTCCTCCTCCGCCTTTCTCTCCCTCCCACCTCTCTCTCTCTCCTCCATCTTTCTTCCTCATCATTCCTGTCTGCGCCGTTTGCGCTGTCGTCGTCTCTCCTCGTGTTTGACTTCCTTAAAGTCATCCATCATGTTGCGTTTCCTCTCTTTGTTAATCACCCTATCAAAGACAAATCCCGGTCTCGTTCTTCTAATCTCACATTCCGAATCCTCTGAATCCTCCGAGGACGCTGAATACTGAAGACCGGTCGCCGCTGTTGTCTCCGCTCTACATTCCTTCTCTCTCTGGATCTGAAGGCGCACCGCTCTCCGTCTGCGCTCCTCAAACTTCCTCATCCGACTCTTCGGGAAGTCATCCGTCATGATTCTCTTCCTCTCTCTCCCAGACACCGGATCAGTGACGCATCCCGGCTTGGGTCTAGGTCGGGGCGTCAACTCCTCTGTGTCTGTCGACAAATCGTCGGCTGTGTATCTACGAGGGGCGTAGATACCGGTCGGCTTCTCGCGGGAGCGGACCGGGAGAGGCGTGCGCGAGGGACTACTTGTAGTGCATCCCTCGTGCTGAGGTGGGCTAGGCGTTGGCGTTGGATCTGGAGTCGCCAGCGCCGCCGCGGCCTCGGGCGTCTGTGGTCGCAGTGGCAGCGCGGCCAGAGCGGGAGGGATCCTCTTTATGGCCTCGGATGGGCCGTAGACAATTTTGGAAACCTCCCGGGGAGGGGTCATGATTGCGGCAATCATTCTTGAAAAGCAAGCTGTTAGACACAAAGTCCAAATCGATGAAGTTTTCTAAAGCGCGACAAGTGTCGATACGTGGAATCTACAATCTGACTTACTTTGGTAATGTTGTCATTTTCTACTTGAAAGCTTGGTGCTTGTTGATACGGTTTAGGAAGATGTGCAGATATTGCGAGAAGTATCTCTCGCTCTCACGAATAAGGATCTCGATTTTTGAGAAGTCTGTTACAGGTGAGTACATATCCTCCTAGCAGATATGGATAATGGCAAAACTACGTACCGTAAAGGTAATCAACTACTATTGTCAAAGTAATTAAGCGTTGTGAAAGGTTTCGTTTTGTTTCGTTGTTGATGGGTGGTTTTTGATGGATGATTGTGGATAGCTCTGGTATGTTACGAGAAGTATCCTCTCGTTATGTTATGGTGAATAGGAATCTCAAGTTTTGAGAATTCTGTTACTAGTAAGTTTCTATTCCCTTAGCAGATGTACAAAGCTACTTACTATCACAGTAATCAATTACAATTACCAAAGTAAGTTAAACGTTGTGAAAGTTTTCGTTTCGTTGTTAATGGGTAGTTCTTGATGGATGGATGATTGTGGATAGCGGGTTCTTCTTGATGGATGTTTGTTCGTGGACGATTGTCGATGATTGTTAAAACGATAGTATAAGATTTCAAGAACTGGGCAAACCTCCAATATTTTAAACAAACCGCAAATCCAGTCAATCTTTGGAACGCTCGTCTCCAGAACCGTATTTTGCACAGTCGGAATCACAATACAACATACCTTTATGGCCTCTCTCTCTTAGCCGCCTGTCAAGGTAAGGCGGTAAGGTAGGTAAGTATCATTGTAACTTTGTAATAACTTCCTGTATTCCCTTCCCCCCTACCTGCCTATCTACCTATTATCTGGTTTTTTACCCTCTTATTTTTCTTCTTTCCTTCCTACCTACCTCCCCAACCCACCTTTCTCTCTCTCTCCCTCCCCCTCCTCCAAAAGACCAAACAAAACCCCCCAAAAATCATTTTCCACAAGACATCCTCCCAAGTCATCTATCTATCTACACAAACCCAAAAAGTTCCGACCCAGTCATAAACGACAAAGAGTCATAACATAACCTTGACGGCCATCCGAACCAAGTTTTGATGGGTACTGATCCATGGATTGCTTCCTTCCTCTTTTCTTAATGGGGGGATGGAAAATAGGTAGGTATGTTGGTTGTTCTTTGGTTCGAGGTTCGAGAGGAGGGAATAGGAAGGAAGGAAGGAGGATTGATTTGCCTTTCTTTCTTTCTTTCTTCCTCTTCGCGAAAAGCATAATAAAACAAAAAGAAAAAGAAAAAGAACAAAAGAGAGAGTCGATACATCAACCGACCACCTGAAGTTCATGCTACGTATTACCCAAGGTAGATACCTATGTGCGTTGTGTTTATAGCGTGGGACGTTTGCGAGATATAGGTATATAAGGTACCTTGGTAAGTTTCGAGGGGAGGTCAAAAGAAGGAGAGGGGGGTTGTTAAGCGCGGTCAGGAGAGTTTATCCGAGGGGGTGTATATCCGATTGGAATGGACGATATACATATACGCAGGTATTATCAAACAGTTCTCGGGTAGACAACCTCGTGTCTTCAATAATGCCATCTCTTTCGAATCTACCTAATTTAATCTACCTACCTATTCTCCCCTTCCTTCTTTCTCTTTCTCTTTCACTTTTGTTTGGATTACCCCGTACCCATACCGATAAATACCGAGAACCCATCCAAGAGCGCCAGACTCCCAACACCTAAGCTACCCCCTTCCCCACTAACACCAGATTCGCGACATTCATGATCGCCATAACCAGCCAGATCAAGACCGCGAAGATCGTCGTCACCCAGTGATTTCTCATCTTGACGTCCGCCTGCTCGCCCGCCTCAGGGACATCAGCCGCGCCATCGAACGACGCTCCAATCGCATCCTCGTCATCGCCTGCCCCGGCGCCGGCCGCTGTGGCCCGGACCGTCATGTACTTGTTCCTGCTGGTGAAGTAGACCAGCGGCGCCGAGACGAAAGGCAGGATCACGCTGAGCGCCACTTGCGTCCCGTTCAGCGCGGCGGTGAGACCGTCGCGCCCCACGGCGCCGGCGATGATGATGCTGGGCATGATGCTGATGCTCCGCGTGATGAGTCTCCGGAGCCAGGGGGCTATGGTCCAGTTGAGGGCCCCTTCGGATACCATCTGTCCTGCGATGGTGCAGACGACTCCCGCGCTGATGCCGGATAGCAGGAGCGCGAGGGCGAAGATGGTCCCAGCAGCTGGGGCAAGACTCGACGAGAGCAGGTGGTAGATACCGAAGAGATCGGCATCGCTGGCTGAGGGTGTGTTTGAGAGAGAAGCACCTGCCACTATCAAGATGGAGCTGTTAACAAAAAGAGCAAATGTAAAGAGCGAGAGCGCCAGCTCAGCTACGGAGTACTTGAGACAAAATTTAATCGCTTGAACAGATGGAAAGTAAGGTTGCTTTTCGGAGCTGGACGGGTCTATTGAAGATTCAAAGAGACCAGCTTTGATATCATAATCTTGTAAACGTGCCTGGACAATACCGCTGCCCAGATAGAGACTGTGTGGCATGACTGTTGCGCCGAGGATACCGCAGGCTTGATAGAGACTATAAAGTTCAAAAAGGTCAGCAATCTGCAAGAGGATTCAGGAGTCCTACGAGAGGGGAGGGCTACCCCTGGGATTGCACAAGGGCCGACGATGGAACATATCCGCGAAAGACCTCCCCAACAGTTGCGTCCTTGATCAAAGACAATTGGATGCAGAAGCATATGACAACTCCCAAAACTAGAGCGACAACAAACATCTCGAATGCTCGGAGACCCTTCATGGACCCATTTGGGCGGTAGAAGATCAGTATCAGCAGGACGTCGACAATAGAAAGGGCGCATCCCGCTACGAGGGGAATTTTGGGGATCAGGAGGTTGATTGCGATGGCGGTGCCAATCTATGACCGGCGAGTCAGCAACCAACTCATCCAGACTGAGACAGAGTAGTGGAGTTTGATATATAAGCGTAAGGCATCTTTACCCTCAAGGTAATCCGAACTTTGGAGGGTAAATCATGTCTCAGGACGCGCAATCAATCTGGGGGAGGGAGCCCCGTGGGGGATTCTTACCACCTCGGCAATATCTGTTGCAATGATCTGTATCTAGTCAGTGATGTAAACTAAGGCAGAACCAGAATGACTTACAGCGGCCTCAGCCATTAGGTAGAGAACAATATTCAGCCATTTCGGGAGAAACTCTTTGCACGCTTCGGCAAGGTTAAAACCGGTGACACTGCCAAGCTTGATGCAGAGACTCTGCAGGAAGATAGCAAAGATGTTCGACATCAGCACAATAAAGAGCAGCCGGAACCTGTACGAAGCACCCGCAGCCACATCTGTAGAATAGTTCCCCGGGTCGATATAAGCCACGGAGACCTTCACAAGGGGCCAACGGTTAACTTTTGCTTCCTTGGAGTGGTGGGAGCGGAAAGAGACTTGCCATAAATCCTGGGCCAACGAACTTGGCAAAAGTCTTGACAACATCACGCACCCTGCCAGGGTACTCCCTCAAGACACGGAAGCCCTTGAACCCCCCAGGAGGCCCTCCCTCACGATTGAACGGTTCGTTCACGTGAGCCTCCTCCCCCTCGCTGGTGCCCACCACGGCGGGCTTCTCCTTTCGAGACTTTGCATCGTCCCCAGGGTCGTCTTCAGTGACATGCTCAATCGAATTCAACCTCCTCAGAACTCTGGCATTTGCGATGCCGTTCAAATCCTGCCTTGTGGTGAGAGCCGGAGCCAGCGCATTTGGGTTCTGGTTCATGCCATCCCCCTCAGGGCAGTGGACGGGCGACGGGCAGTTCATGGCGGGAGGTGGGGTGCGGGAGGGAGGTTGGGAAGCCCCACGTCGCGTGCGTGATGCTGGGTATCGCCAAATGCAACGTTCAACTCCAGCGATGCGATGCAACAGAAACAGAGAAGAAGAGCCCGGCCAGGTATGCTCGATCGATGAGACCTGGAGAATCCGGGGTATGCGGAGTATATGGATTCTGGATCTCTTATATTATATTCTCTCCATGGGCAGGGCTGGTTGTCGTCTCTGCCCGTAGTGACGCGGTTTTTCCCGCTGGTGCTTCTACAATGACATACCATGCGTAAAAGCGGCGCGAGAAAGAAGATCCTCGAAATCCGAATGCTCCAAGTCAACCAATCCACCATCAACCATCAACTGTTGACCATTGACTATTGACGGCCTGACCAGAGAAACTCGTCCTGAAACTCGTTGCGTGTCTGAACAAGCAGATGCCACGTACTGTGCATTTCTTGGTATTTGGGCATCTTCCTTCACAGCTTTCGGGTTCAGCCCGACATCATCCTTTTATTAACGACCCATTTCTTGTAATTACTATAATTGGCTAAAATCACCTCACGCGCATGAGCATGACGAAGAATTGACCCGACAAGGTGTGTATCATTAGAGTTGATTTGCTCGACCAAGCCGGCGAGAGGCCATCTGCGATATACAGTACATTTTTCCACTTGCAATTTCCCCTCCCCTACATCGTAGGTAACAAGTCCCTCCTGAGGAAAATCAAAACGCCGCCATCCATGCAACGCCGGGCAGACTATGATCGCGGAATAGACATCACCATTATCGGTGTAACAGCCTCCCCAATCTTCTACTTCGGCTCCGACAGGTCGAGCCATGCGTAGGCCCGCTGCAAGGCTCGTTTCTCTCTTCCATCATCCTCAAGAACTGTGATCCAATCCCGGATCTGGATACCCACGCCCTTTTCCTTATCCTCTCTCCAGGTTCCCAGTCTTCTCGCCCCATCAGATGTCAGTCTCTCGGGCGCTGCGCTTACAGCTGCACCGGATGGTGTACCAGGCAAACCTTGTGTCTGGAGTCTACCCGGCGTGCTCGCTCCGCTTCCAGAACCACCACCACCGGTCATCCAGGAGTATTTCTTCTTGCCAAACAGTCCGCTCCCACCCCCCAAGAACTGTGCAGTTGTTACATTAGCAGCAGCGTGACTGGCCGCTTCATTGACCTTTGCCTCTGCCTTCTTCTTCTGCTCTTTCTTGGTTGGCGCCTTCTCAGGCAATTCGGGTGCAACCGAGCCTGGTGTTCCTGGAACCGCGGAGCTCTGTCGTGGGGTAGCCTCCCCTGACTGGCGAGCTTGTCGCTTTCGAAGTCGAGCTTCCTCGAATTCGCGTTCCTGGAGAGCAGCTCGGCGTAAGGCGCTTACAACTTCATTGCTATATCTAACGGGTGCCTTTGTACCTTCAGATGCAGTAGTCATTTTATTTGCCGAGGAAAGGGAAGCTGAGCCTGCAATAGAATTAGTTCAGTACCAGAATTGGCAAGGAGCGAAGCGTACGCTTGAGTGGGTTGGTAGGTGGGCTGACGGCGCTCTCCCAACCACTTCTCGAAGCACCATCAGCGACAACACTAGCGCCCGCAGCATTACTTGGAGCTGCAACATCTGCCCACTCATCTGGGATGAGACCATGAGATCCCGACTGCCGTTCTTTAGCAAGTCTCGTCGCATCTTCAAGCAGGCCTCGTAGGCGATGCTTTGTTGCAATCGACATGAGAGCAAGCTGGTCAACCAATAGTGAATCGTATGGAATGAAGATACCATTAGTATTCGTGATAGATCCATCTGGTCCAACAGCTGTCTGGATTTTGACCGTGGGTGATGGAAAGTCTCCGGGCAACTTCATTGTACCCATCTTACCATTGGCATCTGTATTCAGGCCTATGCCGTTCTCCCGAGCTATCTTCTCCATTTTCTTATGCACGGTGCCGACAATTAGAAACGGATTGTTCAATTCGCGCTGTCTTGAGACAGCCAGGTTATGAGCCGCATCTCTCCAAGCCTTATCTGCTGCCTTCGCGTGATACTCGTCCTGAGTCTTGGTGTTTGGCGCTTCTGCTTTTGCATTTGCAGGACCGGCCCCATAGAATGACGCTTCATCTGCAGGCGGGAACTGGGTAAAGCTATGACTGGCCGATATGTTGCCCGACTGGGAGCCCGTCTGTTGTGAGTTGAAGGAGGTATTGTACATCTGGAAAGTATACTGCTCCTCCTCTCGCAGATCGATGCCTGTGCCACCCAACACATCCATCGGGTCGACCCCATCTTCTTTAGGTTTTTCGGCTGGTTTGGAAGGAGGACCCATCGTCCCTGCGCCTTGCGGTGGCATCATGTAGTTGTTGTAATTTGCTTGAGGAGTTGCTGGATTCGGGTTTGGAAAGTTGAGTGGGCTTGGGCTTCCCAGATTTTGGTTGTTGGGTGGAGGCTGTGGAAGGTTTATAGTAGGAGTCGTGTTCCCGTTTGAGTAGGGTGTATTGTAGACATTCGGCGGAAGCTGAATGTTTGTAAAGTGAGGAGATTCGCCAGTGGATGGAGGACCAGATGCAGCAGGACTCATCGCATACGGCGACTGAACGTATGGAGTCTCTGGTTGCGAGGGAGGGTTAGGAGACAAACGTTGCCGCTTGTTGGGAGGCAGCTGGAACTGCTGCGGCGTCCCAGGAGACGGCGACGTCTGCGGAGGAGAAAAGGGCCGTTGAGGCATTGGAAACTGCTGCTGAGGTTGCGCCATGGTGCTAGGTGGTGATGATGAGAGTCCTGGGTTCGTGCTTGTCTTAATGATGCGCGGGCACAAAGCCGAACGCGCTCGGCCAAGGAACTCGACCCATGTGCTGGTCCAAACCTCTAAGACAAATACCGACAAGGAGCGCCTTAGGATCTTGTTCGTCGGTACTTTGTTGAGCTTCCGCAGCGTTATGTCGCGAGTTGGTCGTTGGGCATGAGATCGAAAAATGTCCTGAGAGCGGTTCCCCTTCGACGACCCGGGTCGGTCACGTGAATACGATGCTAGCTCGAGAAATTAATTACCCGTCGCGTCCCCCTGGTCTTCGTTGACCTTGACAACTTGCGACAGACACGTCTTCTCAACCCTAGCTTCTCTTGAACATATCACAATTACGCGGACTGATAATACATTAAGGAGTTACTGCGAATGCTATAACACCCTGCTGATGGAAATACTGCCAAGGACTGGCCTAGAGACAACGGCCCTGATCCAAGGCAGTTAAGGTCAGGCACTGTTAAGACGCGGAAACCATCATGGCCTCAAAGCGCAAGGCCGCAGCGATGGCTGCTGTAGATGAGGAGCCAGTAGACCCAGCTGATGAGCTCATGTTTCTTTGTCTTGGAGGTGGTAATGAAGTCGGTAGATCCTGTCATATTCTCCAGTACAAAGGCAAGACTGTCATGGTGAGTCAAGCATCATATTCATCCCATTCCAATCTTTGCTAGAACCTTTTCTGACCGGCCGTTTTCTGATAGCTTGATGCTGGAATGCACCCTGGATATGATGGGCTTGCTGCTCTCCCTTTCTACGATGATTTCGACTTGAGCACTGTCGATGTGCTGTTGATCAGCCAGTAAGCGTCCCTTATATTGTGTCATCTGCGCTTTAGTCTTTACGAAGGGAGATCTGTTGGTCCTATTTCATATATCGTATGCCTCATATCACAATTATTCATGGGTCTCCTTTCTTAGAGAGTCTATTTCTGGCCCGATTTCCTTCCTGCAGACTATCATGTATACGAGAATCAATACAAAACATTTATCACGCATCGGATGCATGTCTTGATTCTGTGAAAATGATACAACCTGCATACGGCGTTGTACATAGAGCTTCTCATGCCCCTTTGGCGATGCAATCAGGCTGCTCAGTCAGGACGTTACTGACCGCTTCATCCAAAGTTTCCACATCGACCATGCAGCTTCACTTCCATATGTATTGGCGAAGACCAATTTCAAAGGCAGGGTCTTTATGACACATCCAACGAAAGCCATCTACAAATGGCTCATCCAGGACAGCGTTCGAGTCGGTGGAGCATCCTCAAATCCAACCTCACAACCCGTGTACACGGAAGCAGATCATTTGTCTACATTCCCCCAAATCGAAGCGATCGACTACCACACTACACATACCATCTCATCCATACGAATTACCCCTTACCCGGCAGGCCATGTCCTCGGTGCTGCTATGTTTCTTATCGAGATCGCCGGACTCAAGATCTTTTTCACGGGAGACTATTCTCGAGAAGATGATAGACATCTAGTCTCAGCCGAGGTGCCCAAGGGTATCAAGATTGACGTATTAATCACGGAATCAACGTACGGCATAGCATCTCATATTCCCCGTCTTGAGCGAGAGCAGGCGCTCATGAAATCTATCACCGGCATTTTAAACCGCGGTGGTCGGGTGTTAATGCCTGTTTTTGCTCTTGGACGAGCTCAAGAGCTCCTTCTAATCCTGGACGAGTACTGGGGCCGCCACCCGGAATACCAAAAGATACCCATCTACTATGCTAGTAATCTCGCACGCAAATGTATGCTGGTATACCAGACATATGTTGGAGCTATGAACGACAACATCAAGCGACTATTCCGAGAGCGAATGGCAGAAGCGGAAGCCTCATCAAATAGTGCTGGCAAAGGTGGACCGTGGGACTTCAAATACATTCGATCCTTGAAGAATCTTGATCGATTTGATGATGTTGGAAGCTGTGTCATGCTTGCAAGTCCTGGTATGATGCAAAATGGTGTTAGCAGGGAACTTCTCGAGCGATGGGCCCCAAGCGATAAGAATGGAGTTATTATAACTGGTTATAGTGTTGAGGGCACAATGGCAAAGTCGATAATGCAGGAGCCTGATCAAATACCAGCTGTCATGTCTCGTAGTACTGCTGGGGCGAGACGTGCGCCAGGAGGAGACAACGAGAAAGTCATGATTCCCAGGAGATGTAGTGTCCAAGAGTTCTCGTTCGCAGCACATGTCGACGGCACAGAGAACAGAGAATTCATCGAGGAAGTGGCAGCTCCGGTGGTGGTATGTTTGCCAGCTGATTATTCGGAGCGAGGCTAATGAGAAGCAGATTCTCGTTCACGGCGAGCAGCATAATATGATGCGCTTGAAGTCGAAACTTCTTTCCCTCAACGCAGACAAAACCTCGAAGGTAAAGGTTTTCAGCCCACGTAACTGCGAAGAGCTGCGAATTCCTTTCAAGGCCGATAAGACGGCCAAAGTTGTTGGCAAGCTGGCCTCTATTCCTCCTCCTATGAGCTCCGAGGATGGTCAAGCGCAACTCATAACTGGTGTGCTGGTGCAGAATGATTTTAAAATGTCTCTAATGGCACCAGAAGATCTAAGAGAGTATGCTGGATTGACGACAACGAGCATAACTTGCAAGCAACGCATGACTCTCAGTGCTGCGGGAATTGATCTGATCAAATGGGCATTAGAAGGCACGTTTGGCAGCATCGAAGAACTACCCGAGAGCAAGAGCGAGACTAAGAATGAGAATGAGAGCATGAAGAATGGTGATAGTCACATGAATGGCACATCTGAGGATGCAGATGAAGAAATATCGAGTCAGTCGACAGCATATCTGGTAATGGGCTGCGTCACCGTTCGCTACCGTGGTAGTGGTGATGTGGAGCTTGAATGGGAAGGCAATATGCTCAATGATGGTATTGCTGACGCTGTTATGGCTGTTCTGTTCTCGGTGGAAAGCAGTCCAGCGGCTGTTAAACGTACGATGCCCCATCTCCAACCAACTCAGAAACGAAACTAATAAGCCACATAGAATCCTCGAGCAAACATTCCCACTCTCATACACTTCCCGCTAGAAATCCTCACGCGAATCTTTCACCTGCTGAGCGTCTGGAGCGCCTATTCATGTTCTTAGAAGCGCAGTTTGGTCCAGATAACCTTAATCCTATCGCCATCCCCAAAATTACCACCAAAAGATTACCCACGCCCGGGTCGCCTTCAACCATCAAGGATGAAGGGGAAGGTGAAACCGAAGGCTCTGAAGATGGAGACAAAGAACTCGAGGCGTTGCAAAGGCAGGAGATTGAGAGACTACACAAGATCGGTATCCCAGTGCCAGGGGTGGAGATCAAGGTCGATAAGATGGTAGCTAAGGTCTGGCTAGAGGATTTGGAGGTTGAATGTACGAATCGGGTGTTTGCAGAAAGGGTTCGTGCGGTCGTAGAGAGGGCAGTGGAAGTCACGGCACCATTATGGGCATGATACTTTGTAGAAAACTTGTAAACATTTGACGAGCGATTACGAGCTTGCTTGTTCCTGATCTAAAAGGCCCTGCATCCTAGCTTGATCACCATAGTTCACGCGTCTTCTTGCAATAAAAAGAACAAACATGTAATATCCCCCAACACCTTAACGACCAAGGCACGCAGCCTGTTGAAAGAAAAAGAGCCACTATGTGAAACTCCCAACACCTTGACGTAATTATTGACGTGCACGCCGTGTTGTAAGAAACGAAAGAAAGCAACCCTGCTAAAGCCCCGATCTAAGAACGCTGCTGATGCTTGCAAGGAAACCTGATGTTGTAGGAACCACCTGCTAATCTCACATACATGGCAGTCCCAGAGCTGCTACGAGACCCCATATACAGGTGAATACAGCAATGAACACTGAAGCACCAAGTATAACTCCACGAGGAGTCCCACGTAGCAGACTTGTCAAGCAGATCACAACAAGGCCGACAGTTATAATACCTCCGGCGATCGCAGTCAATGTGGCTGCTGTACAAGAATTGTTTATCTTACGTCGATTGATAGAGCCCTTAGAGGAGAGCTTGGTCTGATCTTTTGAGACAAAGCCCTTCAAATATTTGAAGAGATCACCAAGGAAATTGTCACGTCTTGATCCTGCATCCGACTTCTTTGCTGACACAGTAGCAGAGACCAGAGCGGTGCATGGTGCCAGTATCTGTTCAGCAGCCCAAAAGCACAGACCAGTAGCAGTGGATTCTGGGCCGACAGGAGAGATCGTAGGGAGGGTCATGGTGAGGGTGGCAGGAGGCATCGTGGCGGTTTTCGTAACGGGAGCAGGGGTGACGAAGACCGTAGTAGTAGAGAGATCGAACTGCAAACCATTAGTCACGACTTCATATATTACAAGATACTTTGGAGCTTACTTCACCAAGGCAAGAGCCCGTATCATTCATGACCGAAGAGTTGGCAATGGTAGGAAAGATTGGAGAAGGGATGATAGACAAAGATAGCATAGTCGAGCCATCCTTGAAAAGACCACTACCGACGGTCGAGACATTGGTAGCAGTTTGAACGTTTTGAGCTCCGACAAGGACTGAGACTCTGTTAGCGGCGTCTTTCAAGGTAAAACATACGTTACATACGGGACACGAGCGCCACAAGGGCAATGCTCAAGAGAGTCTTCATATTCGTCGTCGTGGGGCTGGTGAAATGATTCTCTAAGATCTTGTCAACTAAGCGCGCGTTTACTTTATGTAACTGGGGATAGAGTCAATTCGGGGTATCCGGAGATCAGCCACTCTCTCTCTGCAAGACTAACAAGGAGATTCTTCATGAAAGATACCCTGATCTAGACTGATCACAGTAGAGTGCGTAGATGGAGGAACAAGTGAAGGAGTTGGCAGACACAAGTCTGGTGATAGAGATGAGGTGGTAAATCTGGGACCTTGATCGAGAGTTGAGGCTATAACGTACCTGCAGATGTGTAGCTTACTACACTGAAAGATCAGGGAGAAAGACAAGTAGCTGTGTACTACTATGCCCGTGGGACGATGAATATGGAAGAGTTCGGATGAGTGTGTTGTATGGACGTAGATGTTGTTTTGGTTTCGAGACCGTGGAGTAGAGGGAGATCCTACGAGGATGTTTTGTTGTGGTACGGCCCACGAGGCGAGGCAACGAAAGGGGTCGAGGAAGGCGTCGAAACGGGCGTACGCCAAGGACTGTTTGAGGGAAACAACTCTTATGGTACACAATAGCATCAGTGATAAAGAGGATCAATGAATCAACGTGCTATTCGTTAAGAAGAAGAAGAAAAAGAGAGTTGGGTCGGCGTTGTATGTCAATTCGTGGAGTGTGCTGCTTTAACCGCTTCGGATCGATTGTACTAGGCCTGGCCTCGAATATTATCAACTTCAATTAGGTATCTCATGGATATCGACGGATCGTTTACTCGACTGCGAGCCCAATCTACTCCACGCTCTTCCTTGGGAGACTCCAGGAATCCATTTGTGGATCCTAAATGGTGTATATCCCAGCGAACGATGCCTACTTGATCTCCTTTGTGGGTCCGTCAACTCATTCAAAGGTCCGGAGGCATTGTCAGGATTCTTGAGAACAGCCTGAACCTGGCCCATAAGCAAGCAGTCCTCCCACAGTAACAGGAATACCTGCTGACGAGTACGGCATATCCAGGAACCTTCCCCATGAAGCTGCCAGTACTTCGAGCCAAGGAGTGGACCGAGAATCAGGGACTCCAATCCATGACGCTATTAGTGAGGTCTCTAGACTATGAGCGCAGTAGAACAAGCTGCCCCATCCAGAGCTTATGGATTCAATGCAAAGGCTTTAGAACAAGACAGTGGGGTTGCAGGACAGCTGCCGTCAGAGAGCATGTCGAGGAAAAACAGAAAACGAAGGCTGCCAGATACGAAAAAGAAACCGGTCCAGGGCTTCGGCCACTTTCAACTCGCGGAGTAGATTCATGCCGACAAATCACCAGAACCACACATTTATAGCTAGGGCTCGAGGGCTACTACAGGCTATAACATCCATCATGAAGCTTGGCAGGATGCTGAGAGTTCACATGAACTCTAGCAGCTGAAAGACTGCTACATTTCGATTGGTATTTGGAAAAACCAAGTAAAGAGCACGCAAGGCCTCTAATCCAAAAGTAGGAGCATATATATAGCTTCCAGAGAGATACGAAGCAATGTACCCTTATATTCCCAATGCCAAACTTCACTGGGCTTTTCTCTGTTTGGTGATATAATACATACGGCTTTCGTTGATCCAAGAATTTGGCTGTCATCAAGTCCAGCAGCTACAAATCCTTGGGGAACCCGCAGGCATTGAACAGGCTGTGCAGGCCAGAGATGTCGCTGGAAATCCGAGTTACAAAGGAGACCTCCCAACCAGTGTCAGGGATGAATCAACGTCGTTGATTATGAACTGTTTGGGGCTTGTTCATTCTCAGGCGAAGCCCAATCCGCTCAAGTCGAAAGCCTTGTTCGACATAGAGTCTGGTGGCGCCCCGCAAAACATAAGGAAAAGAAGCTTCTCAAAAGCATATCGATTGCTGGCTTCTCATGCATCCCTCTCTTCCCCCGTAGAAGAGAGAGGAGGGAGCACGGACCCTTATGTCATCAATCATGCCTCAGAAGTGAGGAACAGCAAGAACTCCTAATGGGGCCTTGACCAGAACATCCTCCCAGCAGCTTACACTCCGTACTTTGAGTAAAGCTTGCTGCTTTTTTTTTCTTGTTGTTCGAAGGTTGCGAGATGGCATGGCCATATCCATGAATAGGGCTCTTGGTTCGGCTTTACCAAGCACTTGCCCGTTGAGATCAAGAGGCAAACGACACGAAAGGTCGACCGACGTCCTACTCTCGATCAATATAGTCCCTCTGGTGTGCGAAAGCCGGATTCGATGTACATTTCCTTCTCATTGAGCTTTTCAGGCGTTATATCCAACGAATGGCTGTTCTAATGCCTCCCACTACCGAGGTCGCCACTAAGAAGGAGGAGGAGGAGGAGGAGGAGGAGGAGGAGGAGGAGAAGACGGCCTCGATATGCCTTGATGATACTGTCCACGAAGTTGTCGAGATACGAGCAACTGGGGATGTTATCCTTGATGTTTCTTTCGAAAATACAAATGCCTGCACGAAGTCGATCCCTAGTGAGGCCATCCAGAAGCTGCGAGCATCCAAGGCAAAGATTCCGTCAGCAAGGGTCTTTTACAGGGTTCGCCTTGAGACCCTGAAGAGGCACTCAAAGTACTTTGCACACCTTCTGGGGTCAGATGTCTTTGGTGAGGGAAGGACCATAAAGGACACGTTTGCAGGTCTTGCTCAATCGAATCTGAATCCGTCTGAAGTCGAGCCTGGACTTCTCCCGAGAATTCAGATTGTTGACGACGATGAAGCAACCAGGACTATGGGTAGAGAAGCAGTGTTTCGTGACATGCTTCGTATAATGCATGGTGCCGAGCATCTCACAAAGCCTATCTCCATAACTTACCTGTCTGTCTTGGTTGTTATGGCAGACAGATTTGACTGCATGGCTCTCATTTCCCGCTATATAACAGGCAAATTTGGGAGTTTCAGGTATGCTCAGACATTAGACAAAAGTGCAGAAGAAATTCTACGACAAAAAATCCTCATCTTCTATCACACAAACCAGGCTGCACGTTTAGCGTCCGCCACAAAGGAGTTGATCCTACGAGGATCTTCTCGATGGGTTAGTTTTAGTGACAGTCCTGCGTTTTCAACTGCGTGGTGGGATTTGCCCGATGGGCTAGAAGGTACGTTACAACTGATTACTGGACAAAGAGCAGTCTCTGATGGCTACTAGCTGAGCTTTCACATCGTCGTGCGTGCATTCTTCGAACTATAGCTTCCCTGCAATTGCATTTCCTTGACCTCTACACGTCACGCAACCGACAATGTACTCTTGGTTATGATAGCAGTCCTGCATGCGATTCATTTCAACTTGGTGAAATGATCAAGTTCTTTACCAAGAAAGGCCTACTTTCCCTCATACCTTTTCAGGCCACATCCCCAGAGGATTCTGACTATATATGGCCGGAGCCGTACACTGGTGATATTGAAAATCTCATAGGACTCCTCCGACAATGCCCCAACTACCAAATCGACAAGAATCATTCCCACTGTGGGCTGAGAAGCAAGATCTTGCCCCCGCTGGACTACATTCGGGATTGCATTGATACTGGGGTTGGGATCAAGGTCATGCGTTGGAGATCAGACCGAGCAGCTCATACGTGGATTGCTCCCGAACCAACGACTGGGAAGGGCAGAAAGCCATTCACAGTCGGTGGCGAAGATGATATGAAAACTTTTGATTTCACCAAGTCAAAGTCTGCAATGGAAATGGGAGCTAACAGTTTCAATGTGGACCAATCTGCAAAGACCATGTTCACGGCTGAGAAATGGATTTGGACGCCAGAGAAGGAAGAGGAGACCCCGCGGCTCGTGAAGACGTGGCCGAAATTCTAGGATAAATTCAAGAGGTTGGAAAGGGCCGGAGAAGATGTATTCTGCTGCCCCTAGGGCAATATATACAGGCTTTATGGGATTTAACTGGGCTCTGGATATAACCCCATGATACACAACAATTACCAATTGCAAAACAATTATCCCCCAGTCAGAGCTCGTAATAAGGGTCGAACCAGAGAGAATTTGCTGTAGTCACAAACATAAAACATGATTCAATGGCTACGTAAGTGATGGAGGGAAACATTACATTGATCGTTAAGATTCTTCAAAATAAACTTCACGAGTTGACGTCTGGTCCAAACTACCACAGGCAGCGAATTTCGAGGTTTCATAGCATTCGTATATTCATTGACTAAGTCATAAACTTCTCGCCATGTGGACCGAAGCCACAAAGTCCTAAACTCCCTGAACGCCCATTTATTCCTACTGGTATCATTTAAAAGAACACACTCTTCTTCTTCGAGAGTTTCTTCCCCGCCAGACTAAAAAACCCACTCGAACTAGCCGTCCCATTTCCTGGCGCTTGTAAATATGGCGAGGAACCGGCGTGTGGTCTGTGAGATGTGGCGTGGGAGGGGCGGGGACCTGTAGGCGTGCTTAAAGGCCTCTGTACAGGATCGGGCACCGAATGGGGAGCGCTCTGGTATTGGGGAAATCCTGCTGCTGGTGGCGCTAACCAAGGATCTTGAGGTCGAGGAGGCATTGGTGGTGGTGCTGATGAGAACTGATTTGACGGGGTTGTTGTATCTAGGCCGCCCGTAACTCCATATTGTTTCCTCAATCGTTCCGTCTCCTTGGCTACTTCTGCTTCTCGTCGTCGGCGTTCTTCTTCTTCTGCCTTGAGCATTCTTTCGATTCTCTTTTGCTCCTCGATCTCGGCTCTCTCGCGCTCTTTCTCTTCGGCTTCCACAAGTGCTTTTAACCGGGCAGTCTCAGCGTCTATCTCCCACTGGGTTTGGGGACTGGATGTCGAAGGCCCTGCGCTCTGTTGCTGCTGAGGTCTTGAAGATAGTTGCGGGGAGGTGTTCGTTGCAGGTGAGGACAGCACAGCCCCAGACATAACCGGAGGCGGTACGCTTGCTCTCCCAGTCGATATCACAGGACCACTATTCTTCCGCTTTGCATTCGCACCTACAGTCGTTGGGGAGCTGATGTTGAACGTCTCTCGGTTCGCGTTGAAAAAGATATCCTTGATGACAGCGGCGCTTAATAGAAATACAACCTCCAACCCCTTCACATCTTCAACCTCCACTCTGTGCATATTCGGTTCATATATTGTGAGAGCCTTGCCGCCCCTATACATGGCAACAGTAATGTCAGGCTCCTTGGTCTTTCTGCTATCTGTCGACTTTCCAACCAGATAACATGATATATCTTTTGTTAATTTCCCATCTCTCTTCCACTTGAAGGTAATCTTGGGCGTGAGGTCTGAAGTTGCTGGATCGTTCTGACTTCTGTCGAGAGCTGATGCTGAAGGTAAGCGGAAACTGTTCTGGGGCATTTCAAACTCCCAATGTGTCGAACTGTTCCATGACTTAGCAATCTGTCTGACCGTCACCTGCTGGTCGGGGTTGTAAAGCTGAATCGTGAAGTTGTTTGGAACGATCGGCACCGGTGGTGGTGGTATACCATTCTGTGCTCGAATCTCGGCCTGGGAGAGTGTCGGTTGTGTCCATTGCGGCCGTACTAACACCTCGGCGTATAAAATCTCTGGGTTGTAGGAATCATACAGCGCTATCGCATAGCAGTTCTTCGAGGCTGCGAGATTGGGATCGGGGCGCCGTAGAGTGTATTCTGGTTGAAGCTCCGACCCATTCTGGCCCAGGAAGATAGTGCTGGCGAGGGGATTATCGGAGGAGGAGGGCTTCGTGTAGAAGGTCGGGAGGTTTTCGTCAAGCATCGTCCGGCTGCCTGCTCGATGGATGAAGAGTTCAACACCCAAGAGGTTCCAGGTTGCGGGCGGGAATGCTTCTCGTGCCGATGATACGTTTCGTATTGGTGGAAGCGGTTAGAGAAGAGATCGTGATATCCATAGACTGAAGGTTCTGAGAGCTTTGAAACTTAATACGGCTTTAAAAGGTTAAAGTGCGCGCTGCGGTTCGTGGGCGCGGGTATGACGATTCAAGGTACGCATCTTGTGGGGCTGAGCGGCTGAACTTCTGCGAGAGGTTCTAAGTATAGTAAGGTTTAAAAGATTCCAAGATTTAGGAACATAAGCGATTGGCTGCCCCTTTCCTGGGACTCGAGAGATATCACTACTTAAACCGAGTCAGGAGGCATCTTTCGTGGTATGACTTGGATTTGGTTCGAATTCTGGTTCAGTTCATTACGAGTTCAATTCATGCATCCGGCGTCAACCTGCACTTCCTTCTGCGGGTATCACAAATTCATGGCCATCCACTTGTCACCGTATCCCCAACATCAGGCCAGTCCTTCCCATCGACTGAGCACCAGGCTCAATAAACCAGGTTTATATATACACATAACTAACACCGCAACTTCGATACAATTCCTCATCTGAGCCCAAATTCCTTGTCCAGAATAACTAACACTTGCGATTCTGGACCCCCCTGAAACCTCAAACCCCCTCCCCCAGATGATGCATAGAACGCCCGTCCTTCTCTGATATTCCCCTAGAGTTCAACGCCAGACTCTCATGGAAGCTGAGTTTCAGGCATATTTGGCACCTCCCCTATCTTCTGCTGCTGTCTTTCAAGACGGCCTGTTTGTTGTGCTACCCAGGAATTGATGGATCGAAATCGTGGCGCTGACTCTACAGATGCGGTTGTATAAACGGTATCTCGATCATCTGCTCGCCGAGTTTGAAATATTGAGGTGGCCCATGAGAACTTTCGTGATTGTCGGCTATTCTGCTGCAAGGCGGGGACGATTTGGCTGCTGGTGGGACCGGGTTCTGGAATAATGATTTGGGCATCGCCAAAACCAGAGGATAAAGAGGAGAGGTAGCTCAAATGATTTGCCTCCCTTTGGCCCCGATCGTATACGTCTGAGGTATTCTGCAGAACAATCGCTGTGTTGGTATTGCCGTTGTCGTCTAGAGGATAATTTGGAGAAGTGTAATAAAATGCTTGTGTGATGGGCTGAGTAACTGGCTCCGGAGCTGCTGTGGATTGAGATAACCCGAAGAGAGCGGCACCGTCTGGGGGTGCTCCATGAACTAGATCTTGGCGCTGTAGGTCCAGTAATGGAGTAGCTGCAGTTCGTCGGGTAGCCATCTTCGGTGTGATGACATGAGAGACAATAAGCCCACCAATGTCTTGCTGAGAGACGGGCTTCTCGTCCGTAACAAATCCATAAGGCGCTTGCGGAGAAACACGCTGACTTGGATATCTTTCATCCCCGTCTGCGGTTGGATCTTGGCCCCTTGTTCGCCGTCCAAACCACACATCGTCCCCTCCGTGTATCTCACGTCTGCGAAATGCTAAAAACGGAACATTTTTCCAGGTCCAAGTGACGAGGCAGATGCCAGCTATTATCATGATAAACCCACCTAAAATTATCAACCAACGCACAAGAGTAACTTGGGATTGAAACCACCTACCAATGACTCCAGCCGCAACGAGCAGGTGCTCATCTGTCGGAGTTAGTGTGTTATGCTTATTGTTGTCATGGTAATCATTTCTTCCAGAATTCGGTTGGGTTGTAGTTATGGGTCCGAGTGCAGTCTCTGGGACAGTAAAGGAAGATATTGTCGAGCTGGACTCGTACTCAATAGGCCAGCTCAATGTAATGATAGAATCTGCATCAGTGTTCAGGTCCTTCCTCCGCTGACTTGAAGTAATTGGAAGAAAAGGGTTCGGTGTCACGATTGGGTCTAAATTCATCGATGTTGGGAAGGATGTAGAAATAAATGTCTATGAATTGTAAGGTTATTGAGTGTGATCCCAGGTGAACGTTACTTACAGATACAGAGGACGCTGATGCTGTAAGGCCAACTGGCGAAGTAACAGCAGTGGTAGTAGGAATTGTGGTCAAGGCCGTGGCTGTTGTGGATTGATTCGCTGGAAATAGTTCGTCTCCATGAGCGTAATCCACTGAAGGTGCGTTGTATAAATGCTTCATATCCTGTCCGTTGCCACTGTTACCCACCTTCTCATCATCGCTTTCCCCTCCTCCGCCGTCCTCATCGGCATTATTGTCATTATCATTCGGATTGTCCCCATTATTAAATTCCAAATTGTCGTGATATGAATCTGTGCTGTCGGAGCTCCGTGATCTCCTCTTATTCTTGTCGCCAGCGATGCCCCTACCGCAGTTGCCAGAGCTACCACCTGCCTGTTCCCTCAACGATAAAGCGTTTTCACAGCCAGTTATCTGTCTCAGATATTCTGAATGATCGTGCCGTAATTGATCCAGTGGTGTCATCGTAGTATCATCCTCGAATTTCTGCTAGCCTCTGTCGCCCGTCTCCTCTGTTCTAGGCGGACAGGCCATACACTGATGCTCTCACACACCGTTCTAAGGTTGGACGTGAAATCGAAACAACTTTGAATAAGATTCAGCTCGAAGATTTATGATACGAGCCAGCCGTGTGAAGAAGGGAAGAGAACAGTATGAGGAGAAAAGAACATATCATATTTGAAGATCGCAAATCCACAAAACAACAGTAGACAGAAGGTGGAACCGAGGCCGTGCCATTCTTGGTAAGAACGGATTATATGTGAGGAGGACTGGGGCAATCTCTAGAACGATGAAGAAGTCAGGCGTTGATGCACCCAGGCACGTCTAGACTCAGGACGTAGTGGACGCTTCCACCGTATAGGCGTCAGGATACGTAGGATAGTACATGCGACAATCTAGAGGATAGTGGTACTCCCTGTGCTATGGCTCCTTTCATTCGACTACCAATCTGTGATTGGAACAGGCCGCACAACTTGAGGAAATGTCTTGGGACGTAACACCTATGCGTTGATCTGAGACTCGTGAGGAGGCTGCAAGTGTCAAGTGTACTTGAATATTCGAAGGGATGAGGACCTCCGTGTATGGCCAAGCCAGCGATACCATGCAGCAGATCGCACAATGACCCCAAAGTTTTTTTTGATGCGCATTGCAAAGTTCGCCAGGGAAATTTAGAGTGCAATGATCCAATCGGTGAGTATCCGGACTGGGGTAGTGTCTCGTGAAGTTGGCATTGAGTTTCATGATGTGGAACACGGACTCTGGGGCTCTCTGCAAGAACCCTCATAAGCATTCCCGGCTGGAACTACCATAGCACTAGCTAGGCTCGAGCGTAAAGGACTGATAAAAGATGAAGTTTGCAGCTCAACTATTTGAACCTTCTGTTTCGTGGACCGAGAGAAGACTCGGACTTGAACCGCCTGATGCGTCCAGCAGCTGCGCCTTGGCCGCTGAGATCAAACACCATGCTTGAAATCATTTTATGAGATTGAAGACTGTTTCATCAGAGACCTTGGGAATCTAACCTGGACACTTCATGCGGACAGTTCTTGTTGTCCATTTACCTTCTGGTCATACCTCATTTTAAGCTTTCTCGCTTCACCTGCATATTTTATGCACATCATATCCAATAATGGAACACAAGACGGCAGGACCGCTTGTTCTCTCCAGACTGTGCTTTCTCTCCAGTTGCTTCGCACTGATAAGTTTTAGCAGAGTTGGTGCTTCCACCGTATCTGCATATATTCTGTTCATGGCACGATATTGAGGATGGCTGGCCCCAGCTCTATCTGCATCTCCCAGATTACTGAGTCTGATATTCCGGGAGCCATCACCGCCATACAACAAGCATTTGCGGACGACCCTTACAACCTATGGTTATACAAGGATCGATCAAAAGTAAGCAATCAGCAAGCATTGTCCTTTTAGTAGCACAGGCAGTAGAGAAGACGGTGTTGCTCCAGCCTCTTCTAGGTTTGCCCTGTTCTGCACGTTCATCGTCTATTCCTCGAAGATAGACATACTTGTAAGATACGAGTTCGTCCGTCCATTCAAGGAACACAGAAGGTCAACCCGTTTGCTCGGGAGTGTTGTGGATGGACCGAGTGTATAACCATCTTGTATCATTGGAACACTGGCTGACATCCTTCAAGCTTGACTTGACCCGCAATAGTATATCTTTGGGAATCCGATGTCGCTGGGGAATGCGGAATGCTCTCTTCTATGTAGCCAAAGACTCGAGTGCTGAAGAGAAGGACAAAGTCCTAGGTGTCGCAATGTGGATGCCCCCAAAACCTACTGGGACGAAAGAATCCTGGGATGAGTGGTTGGAAGGATGGAAGTTGTGGGCAAAGCAAGTAGGAATGAACCTTTGGTATGGTAGGGGTGGTCTCAATGTCAAGGTATGTCTGATTTTGCCTGATCGGAAAGTTACTTCAGCGTTCCGTTCTGTAGTTAAAGTAGGACTGCAGAAAGTGACCTCGAGCGAGTGTTCACAGGTATACGATCTTAGTCAAGGGCTATCTTTCCAATCATTTCCATTTCGTAGGAGTAGGCCGCCATGCCGAGGCTTATAAACCTTCGCAAGTGAAAGGTTGCGAGGCTGTGTGCATCGAACTACTCAGACCAGTCAGAGACTCGATTTTTGAAATATATTGTGGAGACACCGCTTGGTTCTATTTGCATTCCGATGATCTTTGTCAAGACTTGCATGTGGATACAAAGAGCTGACGTTCGTGTACGAAAAGCGATATTGGATCTGGAAGCAGAAACAAGCAGAGGCCCAGTCAGAAATCTGGACGGATCCCCACGGTTACTACTTCCTCAACATTATGGTGGTCTTGCCAGGGGAGCAGGGCAAAGGAATTGGGAAGGCATTGGCACGAGAAGTCACCAAGAGAGCTGACGAGGAAGGAAAACGGTGCTACTTGGAATCAAGTCGGGATGTGCCCAACATGAAGATATATGAGACAATGGGGTTTCATTTTGTGAAACAGATGGACTGTGACGATGATGGAGATATATGCAGGTTGTACTGCATGGTAAGAGAGCCTCAGGGGGAGCGTCAGGGGGAGCGTCAGGGGGAGCCGAGAGAAGGTACCAGAGCTTGAAGCTTGGTTCAGGTGACGGGTATGACGTTTGGTGCACAGGCGAATGGGTATTTTCTAGATTCAAATATCCTTCCTGTAGAACTACTTGTCGTAACTGTGGTAACAGTATCTCGCAATACGATTCGAGAGCTTCAAGAACAGAAGCCGATAATACCCCGAGCCCGTCTCCGAGATCTCTCCGGCCTTGAACCTGCGTCGACGTGCGTGCCGTCTTAAAGCCTCACACGAATCGACATCTGTCAGAATGCCTGGGTTGAATAATCTCCCATCGGGGGGGCAACGCCGAACAGGTGCCAGACCGGCGGAATTCGGATTTCAGCTGCAACACAGCATTCTCGCCCTGACATATGGGCGGGTTCGCTAGCCTTGCGGATGACTGAGTCGCGGCACGCTGGATGCTGCGAGCCCAGAGATTTCCCCGAACATCGAGGTATTTAAGGGCCAGGAACACATAAGCATTCACGAACCCTCAGAGGGGAGCGAGTGGAAACCCTTATCTTTTGTTTTATCGGTGGCTCAAAATAGCATAATAGGCGAATTGATTACTGTACGGCGTACGGATCGACTACCGAAAAAGCAACGCCTTCTAGTACTTTTTACCAGGTTGAAGAGCTCGAGAGCTTTCACCTTATTTCGATCTCTCCCTTCCCTCTTGACAGTCGATACCCTTCATATCCTTCTCCCTTCTTTGGAGCATGGCGTCCACAACAAGAGCAGCGATGAGGCTCTCTAAACCCGCCTCAATTGGCTTCAACACCGCCGCTCGGCGGTCGCTCGCGACGTCATCACAGCCTTTGCTCAGGACACGAACGCGCGCGACCTCCCAGATGCTCTACCAGAACTCCCGTCGTACATACACCGATGACGCTTCGTCTGCGAAGAGAGCCCAGGTCTTCCGCTACTTGAAATACGCTTGGCGCCTCACATATGTGTCTGCTATTGCCGGATCCATTTATCTCGCATATGGTGTTTATGAACTCCGGAATCCTGATGAGCAATTGGTGCCAGACCCAAGCAAGAAGAATCTTGTGATCCTAGGTAAATACTGCAGTTAGAATGCATCTTCTGATGTATAGCTTCTGATGACTTTCCATAGGCTCTGGATGGGGCGCCGTATCTCTGCTCAAAAAGCTCGACACGGAAAACTATAATGTCACGGTCATCTCTCCTCGAAACTACTTCCTCTTCACACCTCTCTTGCCATCATGTACAACCGGTACGGTCGAGCATCGATCGATTATGGAGCCTATCCGAAGTATAATTAGACACAAGAAAGCGGCGGTGAAGTTCTATGAGGCAGAGGCAACCAAGATCGATCCGGAGCGAAAGACCGTCTTGATCAACGACAACTCTGATATCAAGGGTGATACTAGCACAACTGAAGTTCCCTATGATATGCTGGTTATCAGTGTTGGTGCCGAGAACGCCACTTTCGGTATTCCTGGCGTAAGAGAACACTCGTGCTTCTTGAAGGAAATTGGCGACGCCCAACAAATTCGCAAGAAGATTATGGACTGTGTAGAGACTGCAACCTTCAAGGATCAAACACCGGAAGAGGTCGAGCGTCTCCTGCATATGGTGGTTGTGGGCGGTGGGCCAACTGGTGTTGAGTTCGCCGGTGAACTTCAAGATTTCTTCGACCAGGATATCAAGAAGTGGGTGCCCGAAATCAGCGACAAGTTCCGTGTAACCCTGATCGAAGCTCTCCCTAACGTCCTCCCCATGTTCTCCAAGCAGCTTATCGATTACACTGAATCGACTTTCAAAGAGGAGAAAATTACCATCAAGACCAAGACAGCTGTGAAGAAGGTAACTGAGAAGACTGTTGAGGCTGAGGCAACTGGCCCCGATGGAAAGAAAGTAACGGAAGTCATGCCCTACGGTCTTCTTGTCTGGGCCACTGGAAACGCAGTCCGTCCCATTGTTAAAGACCTCATGTCCCAGATTCCCGCACAGAAAGACTCACGGAGAGGTCTTGCTGTCAACGAGTATCTTGTGGTGCAAGGTACCAAGGATATCTGGGCTACTGGCGACTGCGCCGTCGCTGGGTATGCGCCAACTGCCCAAGTAGCTTCGCAAGAAGGTGCTTTCCTGGCTCGTCTCTTCAACAATATGGCCAAGAGCGAAGCTGTCGAAGCGAAAATCGCTGAGCTGAGCCAAACACTCAACCTTCAGCCTGGAGATACAGCGGCGATTGCAAAGGAGATCGAGACGCATGAGAAACAACTGAGAAGAATTAAAGACATCAAACCATTCCACTACACTCACCAGGGCTCCTTGGCCTACATTGGAAGTGAGAGGGCCGTCGCTGATGTCAGCTGGTTGAATGGAAACTTTGCTACTGGTGGTCAATTGACTTATTTGTTCTGGAGAAGTGCCTATCTGAGCATGTGCTTTAGCAGTAAGTCCCTCTCCTATATTTAGTGGGTCGATACTGACGTGAGTAGCTCGCAACCGTGTCCTAGTCGTGCTTGACTGGCTGAAGTCAAAGGCATTCGGTCGTGATGTCTCCAGAGAATAAGGGATTGGTGCCGCCTTGTTTTCTTTCCTTTTCATAATGAATCCCGGTTAGACAGGTCAATGTATTTATATAGAGTTCTGGGAGATTAATGAAGCAGTTTCGGAGCTTAGGTATTGATATAGTTGATATATAAGAAGTTTCCTGCTTTTCGGCAACTGGTGTCGGCTCTTATCCGTCTCTACCCGAGGGTGAATAACTCACGTGATCACTTTCCCTTGGTCCAGGCCCAGAGAGCTCTCAAACCCCATGGGTCCAGCTCAGTTGCTTTTGAATGCTGCGTCCACTACTGGACGGTCCGGGGTAGCAGGATCATTCGATCTGTCGGCTTTGCAATCGTTCCACCAGCCACATCATATCATATTTCCAGCAGGCAGGCTTTTGTTGAACATCGCAGGGCGTCTAGGGCGTCGGGTGATCTGTGTCTGGCTTGTGGCGACCCCAACATATCGACGGACGGCGAATCTCATTGTAAACTCTGTTTTTCCGGCTCGATAAAAGAAGAATCTCATCCAGCTCACAGCGATCGATCTCCGAAAGTTGATTTGCCATCAATCGCTGGTGATGTGTGAAAAGTTTTGTGTTTGTTGGCGGTCGATGGGAATAAGACTCGACGAGATGCCGGTGATTGGAATAGCCGCCAACCTGGCGGGGTTTGTGCCGTACACCCCAGAAAAGTTTCCGGGATCCAATCAACATTGCCGCGGAAGACGTTACAATACTTATACGGAGGTAAGTTGTTCGATTATGATCTTGACTGCCGTGTCCTTCAAGTGGAAAAGATCGCCCGCTGCAGCCTCGCCGTTCGACTTCCTAGCCCTGAACACTGCCGTCTTTTCCCTGTCCCCATCCACAGAGCCTGTAGTTCGGGCTTTTTGGATACAAGACTCCGTTTCTGGGAGGTGGGAAATCTTAGTACCGCAAATAATAAGACAGATCCCTGAAGTTATTGCAGTGATTGAAGGGGGTGTCGAAAGAGCCATCCTATAAAAGCTTCTCAAATCCCCTCTCATTGATGTACCGGAGTCAGTAACCGGAGGGTATTATACATGTGTCTTTTCTATCTGCGATACTGAAAGAAAGAATTGAGAAATACCTTTTTCTCCAAAATCGGGTCTCTCGATCCTGAAATGAGTTCTCCATTCTCTGCATTTGCCTCCTTTCTCATTCCTCCTATGCACCTAGGCGGAATAATTCCGATGTACTCTGTCTGATACGACACGCGTTGGAACACTAGAAGTCAAGATAAACTCTTCCTGCTACCATTCCAGGTTCGTTGTTTGGTAGTGGCCATGCGGCGGTCTTGGGTGGATGTATGGGTGTCATACGTTTGAGTCTATCAGGAGCCAGAGAAGCTTGGATATTTATACAAGCATTGCTGGGCAACAATGATTATGGAGGGGAAATTGATATGTGGGTACATATATCACGCAAAGGTCTACATGTAAGTAGCTTCTAGTATGAAATGAGTGTCTCTCGGCCGTCCTTCACGCGTCTGATCTATAATAAGAATCACAGGAAAAGATGTGTCTACTAGCATATAGCAACACAGTCTAACCAATGGGAACAAAGGCTGCTGGATGCGATTCTGGTACCTCTCAGCCTCGTGCACCCGCAGGATGGGCCCCTCCTTCAAGCTTACAGAAGCTCTAGTGGTTTCCGAGTAGCAAAATGCTAGGATATACGAAGGCTGTCGATGTCGGCTTTGATCTAACAGCTGACGTGGAACCGAATGTGAAGGGTGGATTAAGATCAGTCGTAGTCGTGTTTAGGAGATGTATGGACTAATTGATATCGAGGTAATGTGTCTGTATAAGGCTGAGGAGATACAATATCTCCCGATCTGTAACCTGATGATGCCGGCGCAGTAGGATAGCGGGAGCACAGGACAGCGGGATAGGGCAGTGGGAACGCAACATGATACTTCTAAGGAATCCAACGGGGAACTTAACGCAGTTCTCTGGGAGGTGTACTTGCCTCAAACAAATCGCAGTCAACCGACGAATTGGACAGAAGGTGTGGACACGAGAGAGCGTAACTAGTACGATGTCGATGATGTGGAATAGATCGAAGCAGCGCAGGAGTTTCGGCGAACATTTCCTGGGGTTTGAGAGGCTCTCGAGACTTCCGGAAGGCTTGAAGAGGTTCATGATCAGGGCTCTCCTGTAGATGCTGCTTGACGTGGCATCCGCTTGGCTGCTCGGCGGAGAAATGGTCAACAAGGTCTGGCATGTGTGGATTGGTTCCTTGTAGCATCATCTTCAATAATCCTCCGCTGAAATGGACGCCATTCCCGGTATCTCCAGTGAGCTGCATGTCAGGATAGACTAACATCATGGCTTCATGAATCTTGGGCTCCTCCAAGTCACCGCTACGAGCGCATCGGCGTCGGCACTTTGTCGATGGATATTGTCATATGACGAGAGATGGTAGAGACGCACATTCAAGAAGCTTCAAATGTCCGCGGGATGCGGGGAAAGACGGAAATCTGGGGAAGCATGAAGCTTTGATGGCAGGACATTTCGCGACCTGAAGTGCGCGCACTGGCAAAGGATCCATAGATTTATCCAAAAGAATCAAAAATTAACAGGAAAAGAAAAGAAGATCTATCAAGTTCTTGGTGTTGTTGAAGGGTTAGGAATATCGATAGAGGTTGGAGAGGATCAGGATCAGGATCCTCTCTGGTTCAAGCCACAGCTGATCAGAATACCCTACACGCCACCCTGACCGCTACAGTACTTCACTCGTAGATACTCGTAGATACTTCTTGGTAAGGTGGCCAAATATACTGTACAGATCCATTCCCCGGCCTCATGGCGTTGAACGGTGGAATCTCGTGGCGCCTCCTAGATGGCACTCTATCGCCACGATGCTTCTTGATAAGCCCAGCTTTATGCGTTGCGTGGTCGGTTTCTGCCTATTATGATCGTTCCAGCAGCTTCGCTGGTTTTATCACTTAAGCGAAGCCTGGCTGCCTTAGGTAAACATCCGCTCGTCATCTACGACTACCTTACCTCTCCGTTCCTGACCACCTGGAGCTCTCCTCTCTCACCATCCATTTTCCTTTCCATCCCGGACGTCACCCCTTCGTATCATCCTGCAACGCATCGACTTCTACGTTCCTTCGCAGAAGTCCCCCCTCATTTCATCGCCCTCTTTTGGCGATTTCAACTGCATCTTTCACCTGTTGTTAATCTACCTGGTTGACCGTCAAGATGTCTGCTGAACCCGATTATGTCGAGAAGAAGAAGGTGAACCTGAAGTAAGTCATCATCAGCCGTATCTCATCTTGTAGGAGTAAGTACTGACAAGCTCCAGCGATGCCTCGGGCGCCGAGCACAAGGCCGTAAGTACCACTACCGCCACCGATCCAGAGCTTTATAGCTTCAGTTCTAACCTCCAACAACAGGTTGAGGATACGGCGACGGCCATTCTCAAGAAGAAGAAGAAGCCGAACTCGTTGATGTAAGTATCTCGTAGATCGGACGGGTCCCAATAGCTCATACTGATATCGGTGGCAACAGGGTTACCGATGCCGTCAACGATGATAACTCCGTCATTGCGCTCTCCAACAACACCATGGAGACTCTACAGCTGTTCCGTGGCGACACTGTATTGGTGAAGGGAAAGAAGCGGAAAGACACGGTCCTGATCGTCCTCGCTGATGATGAGCTGGATGATGGAAGTGCTCGCATGAACCGTGTTGTGAGACATAATCTCCGCGTCAAGCATGGAGACATCATTACTGTCCACCCATGCCCTGACATCAAATATGTGAGTATTCCCGATCCTCGGGGTTTGATAACTATATGCTGACTATCCGGGTAGGCCAAGCGTATTGCAGTTCTCCCTATCGCGGACACTGTTGAAGGGCTTACTGGCTCCCTGTTCGATGTTTTCCTTGCCCCATACTTCCGCGAGGCATACCGACCTGTCCGACAAGGAGACCTTTTCACAGTCCGTGGTGGTATGAGACAAGTGGAATTCAAGGTCGTCGAGGTCGATCCCCCGGAGTATGGTATTGTTGCGCAAGATACAGTAATCCATTGCGAAGGCGAGCCCATCCAGCGTGAAGACGAGGAAGGTAATCTGAACGAGGTCGGATATGATGATATTGGAGGATGCCGAAAGCAGATGGCACAAATCAGAGAGATGGTTGAGTTGCCATTAAGACACCCACAACTCTTCAAGTCTATCGGTATCAAGCCACCCCGTGGTGTCTTGATGTACGGCCCTCCCGGTACCGGTAAGACCCTCATGGCTCGAGCCGTGGCAAACGAGACCGGCGCTTTCTTCTTCTTGATCAACGGTCCAGAAATCATGTCGAAAATGGCCGGTGAATCTGAGTCCAACCTCAGAAAGGCATTTGAGGAGGCCGAGAAGAACTCCCCTGCCATTATCTTCATTGATGAGATCGACTCAATTGCCCCCAAGCGTGACAAGACCAATGGAGAAGTTGAGCGTCGTGTTGTGTCCCAACTGCTTACCCTCATGGACGGCATGAAAGCTCGATCAAACATCGTAGTTATGGCTGCTACGAACAGACCCAACTCTATTGATCCTGCGCTCCGACGTTTCGGTCGATTCGATCGCGAAGTCGACATTGGTATTCCCGATCCTACCGGCCGTCTGGAGATTCTTCAGATCCACACCAAGAACATGAAGTTGGCTGAGGATGTTGACCTCGAGCAAATTGCTGCCGAGACTCACGGATACGTTGGCTCTGATGTTGCGTCGCTCTGCTCAGAAGCTGCTATGCAACAGATTCGTGAGAAGATGGATCTCATTGATCTCGATGAGGATACCATTGATGCCGAGGTTCTTGACTCTTTGGGAGTCACCATGGAGAACTTCCGATTTGCCCTTGGCGTTTCCAACCCATCTGCCCTGCGCGAGGTTGCTGTTGTCGAAGTTCCCAACGTCCGCTGGGACGATATTGGAGGTCTCGAGGACGTCAAGCGCGAGCTCATCGAGAGTGTCCAGTACCCTGTGGACCATCCCGAGAAGTTCCTCAAGTTCGGTCTCTCTCCATCCCGCGGTGTTCTCTTTTACGGTCCTCCTGGTACTGGTAAGACATTGCTTGCAAAGGCTGTTGCCAATGAGTGTTCCGCGAACTTCATCTCTGTTAAGGGTCCGGAGTTGTTGAGTATGTGGTTCGGTGAATCCGAGAGCAACATTCGAGACATTTTCGATAAGGCCAGAGCCGCTGCTCCTTGTGTGGTCTTCCTGGACGAGTTGGATTCTATTGCGAAGTCACGTGGCGGTTCTGTTGGCGATGCCGGTGGAGCCTCCGATCGTGTAGTCAACCAGCTCTTGACTGGTAAGTTTATCTTCTATTCTACCTGGAACTCTAGCTAATCGTATTATAGAAATGGACGGCATGACCTCAAAGAAGAACGTCTTCGTCATTGGTGCCACCAACAGACCCGAACAGCTCGACAATGCTCTTTGCCGACCTGGTCGTCTGGATACCCTCGTCTATGTTCCTCTTCCCAACGAGTCCTCGCGTGCTGGTATCCTCAAGGCACAACTCCGCAAGACCCCAGTTGCCGATGATGTCGACCTTAACTACATTGCGTCCCGCACCCATGGTTTCTCTGGTGCTGATTTGGGCTTCATCACTCAACGTGCTGTCAAGCTTGCTATCAAGGAGGCCATCTCACTGGATATCGAGCGCCGCAAGGCTCGTGAGGCAGCTGGCGAGGATGTCGATATGGAGGATGATGCGGAAGATCCAGTTCCTCAATTAACCAAGGCACACTTCGAGGAGGCCATGGCTTCCGCCCGACGATCCGTTAGTGATGTCGAAATCCGCCGATATGAGGCCTTTGCCCAAAGCATGAAGAGCGCCGGGCCGGGCGCTTTCTTCAAGTTCCCTGAGGCAAGCGAGGTTGCGAATGAGGCGAACGGAAGTGGAGCAGGATTTGGGGATGCGGGTAATGATGACAGTCTTTACGACTAGATTGTATTCTAATTTCCTTTTTCGCATACACGATCATATGGCCGGGGAAACAGCTGACACGGTGGACTTGATTTGGAGTCGGAAGAGTCTGCATGGGCGGTAACACATCTCATAGGTAATGCTCGCCTGCATGGATTTGCGGACATTGAGTTTTCTCCCACCTGGTCTTAATTGGTCATTATCGTGCCTCAATAGATTGTTCAATAAAACCTGATCTCATTACTCCTTTGCAATGCAGTGATCCAGCAACTACAACAATAACGAACCCAAATCTTAACGGATGCTGCTGTTCCTTGTGAAATGTATCCAATCCAATTCATGAAGGCGGGCATGATCCCGCTTCCTTCATCCCATGATCCCATGATCCCGCTCCTGTTTAAAACCATCAATGCACCCAAGTACAGCCGCGGTGCTCTCGTCTTCTTCGTCAAACACCGGCCCTTATTCGTTTCAAGCCATCCTTATGAACCATTATTCCACCTCAATAACCAACTCCAAACACTCCCTTGTAATCCTCAAGCCCTCCTCAACTACATTCTTGGGCAACGCCAAACTCTGGCCTCCTTCTCCCTTCCCACCGGCCGTCCCTGCAGCCTCCTTCCCGTTAGTTTTCCCAGCAGCAGCGGTCCCATTACCCTGAGCCTCCTGGCTTCTCGCCGCAGCCGTATCCTCTCGTATGTCATCCAGCACCCGAGTCATGAGAGCAGGGAAGGTCGTGCAATCGCCGGACCGCAGGAGGGCAAGCGCATGATCCTGGATCAACGTGGGCCAGTTTGTGGGGGAAGCATTGAGGGCGTGAAGGAGGGTGTCTTGGATCCTGCGAAATAACGTCAGAAGAGTTCGGGAGGAGTTTGGGGTGGGGGGGAAAGAGGGAGAGATACTTTGAGACATGCCCATCCCGCAGCAGAATGGTGTTTATTTGTGAGCGCAGATCGGGATCTTGCGTAGTCGGGGTGTATGTAGAGGCAGCCTTGGGGACCCGGACGGGAGTTGTGGGCTCGGGATTCATGGTGTCTGGTGAGGGGGATATTGGAGCTCTGTGTCGACAGTGCACGCGACTGCGTTATTCGAAGTCTCCCCGAGATTCTTTGTCTGTTGCTGACTGGAAGCAGACGTCAAAGAGGCTCGAGGTGGGATTTCTAGAAAGCAATAAAGCAATGATACAACCTGCAACGCAATTGTCTTATGGCGCAGCGAGTTGTTGACACTCTGGTTGCTATTGTCGTTTCTCCTCGGGCTTCTCTCGCATCGGTTTGATGGAGACGAGGCTGACTTAAAGGCTGACGCTACTTGAAAAGGAGAAGCCTTCTGTAGTTAGTGCTCCGATATACCCTATGTGTGGGGTAGATATCAGTATGAGGTGCAGGCATAGTAATTGAGCGGGTGCTATCATATCATATAGGATCGACGGCTCGGACGCCAATTGACGATCCGCTCAGATCACAAACCTCGATTGTTTGAAACGACCCCCAGGTTTCAAAAGGATTCAAAGACCGGAAACGCTTTCAAAGGAACTCATCAACAATTGGTTGAAGCCTTAACAATTGAATGCCTATGTTTCTGTTCCAGCCAATCGATACTAAGACACTGAAAGCCTGTCCACAATGACGATGTTGGTGGCATCATGGTATCGCGACTGCAACAAAGGCAGAGAGGGGTTGTTGGTAAAGTTGATAAACCGCCTCCTGGCCGTTGAAGGTTTGTTGTCAGATTCATTGTCCTCGCTCTTGCGCCTTCTTTTTCTTGTTGTCTCTTGCTTTGTCTCTCTTGCTACGCCTTTAGTCCCTCGTGCCCTTCTTCTACATTCTACGTCTGTGGACTCCAGGAACACATCAGAACATCACATCGCACAGACAGCGGCGTCATATTGCATATTGTCCACCACAAGAGACACCATATCTGGATTGGCAGAAACTGTCCGGGTTCCTAATCCAACGCTCGGTCATCTCAGCCCTCATTCAGCAGTTCCTGTCACACGAAAGGCACGCGGGGCGTGGTTGGTTGACGGGCTCCCTCAAACACCAACTGTTTTAAAAGCAGGACTTTCTACTACCTGTATCGAAATATCGTGTGGCTTTCTTTCCAAAGTTCGAGGCTTTAGTGAAGTTGCAACATCTGGAATATCAACCTTCTGCAACTCCAGCGATACCGAAATACGTCAAAGCCCATTTCAGTTCTAGTAACGAATCTTACAAACAGCCAACTACTTCAAAATGCGCCGGAAAGCTGTCTTTTTGGCCGCTCTTCCCGTAACGAGTGCGCTCTCACTTGCGAACTTCCAAGAGATCACGTCGATATCGATACCTCTAACTTGCCAACTTACATACGACGGTCAAATACCATCATGCACAGTATCGGACTTTGAGAATGGATGCTCATCCACATGTCAAGATTCGCTGGAGTTAGTTGCACAGAGTGTCAGTGGAGTGTGTTCCGATGTCAACGTGAACCCCAACACGTTACTTGGTATAGTCAAAAGTGGAGGAATACTGGCGGCGTTATGTCCAGCACCGAAGGTCACATTGTCCACTCCAGAGTCATCGACTCACGCTATTCAACAGAGTAATACAGCTGCACATACAACTATATCGACAATACCTATAACGAATCCAGATGCGCATACCACCACAGCATCAACCCATTCTCAGTCGACAGAGCAATCGACGGTCAGTACTTCGTCGACTATTGCGACTATTGCGACCACGACTACCGAGGCCAGTACGATTTCCCAAACAAGTACGAGTATTGCAAGTGCGAGTAGCACAAGCACAAGCACAAGCATCACAAGCACGAGCATAAGTAGTGCTGCAACAACATTGTCGACGCAAACACAATCGGCTGGGAGTAATATTGAGCCAGTACCTGTCACCAGTACGACGGCCACTTCAACAAGCAGCAAGACCTCCTCGGTTACTAAGGAGACCAGTCATTCGGATAGCGGTGGTGGCAGTCCGTTCGATATCTCTAGTGGCTCGAGCCATATAAGTAGAAGTTTGTCATTATTGGTGATGGCTGCGTGTGCCGGTGTGCTACTTGGAAGGTGAAAACAGGCTCTGACAGGATGAAGGTATGATATTGATAATATCAAAAAGCATTGGCTACTGAGCCAGCCTCCTTGGAAGGGGGTGCGGGGAACAAAGACAAGATGTTTTATCGCTAAGTAGATTTGTACGATATGGGACTGGGAGGATACGGGTACCGGGGGGGG